GTGGAAGCAACAGCCAAGCTGGCACCCCTGGATCAAATGGGAGATGCTGTCAAGGCAGAAATCTGTGGCGCAGTCTTTGCAGCCAGGATCAGGAAATATGTGGAAAAATATGCTAGAATGAAGATTAAAAAATGGTTCCATCTACTGGACAGTCAAACAGTCCTAGGAGCCATTCATCGAGACAATTATGGATACCAAACCTTCTTTACGAATAGGGTGGGTGAAATCCAGAAGGCTGCACCAGTGCAAGACTAGTGGTGGGTCCGTGGAGATCTAAACATAGCTGACATCATTACAAATGGAGGCTCATTTGACAATTTGAAGGAGAATTCCACATGGCAAAATGGACCAGAGTTCCTGAAGTGGCCAGTAGAGGAGTGGCCTGTGCAATCAGCTAGAGAAGTTGCAGCACAGGCCAGAGAGAGTGTAAACAAACTTCAAAGAAAGGTATTTTTAGCTGCACCAACCAGAGTTCAGACCAAAATGAGTCAGCAGGGAGGAGATCCACTGACCGCAAGTCTTTGCAAAGGAGCGAAATCCACTCTGCCAAGAAGATAGACCACTGGCTGGGTTACACAGCTCGTTGATGTAACACAATTTATTAGCCTGACCAAACTGAAGAGAGTTATTGCCTGGACTCGTCGAGCTGCCAAGCAGTGGCTGAAGAGGAATTCAAACCCAAAACTGCAAAAATGGGAGGCAACAACACCCGCGCACGCTGGGCTGACCAGCAAAGACCTGGAGAGAGCATGTGATGGCCTCTTTCTCGCAGCTCAAGTTGATGTAACTTTTCCAGACACAACTCTCAGTAGATTGGCAGTATACAAAGATGTGAACACTGGACTCCTACTTTGTGGAGGTAGAATCCAGGTGTTCGATGAAGAGAAGAGTAACTTACCGGTCCTGCCATTTGAAGCATGGGTGTCTACTCTGCTAGCCCGAGAGTCCCATGAAGCTAACCATGAAGGAGTAGCAGGAACTCCGGATCAGGTAGACAGCATGGGCAATGAAAGGCAGGAGATTAGCCAAGAAAATGGTTGACAGTTTTGTGACCTGCAGGAAGAGCAGAACAAGGCTGTATCAGCAAATAATGGCACATTTACCTCCAGAGCAAGCAAAAAAACCCAGCTGATCCTTTCGAATTCACCACCATAAACTTGTTCGCCCATATGAAGTAAAGGATGAAGTCAAGAAAAGAACCAAACTTAAGGTATTAGGGAATCGTCTTCTGCCGCGTGGTTTCCTGTGCCATACACACAGATGTGGTAAGTGACCAGTCATCTGAGGGTTTCCTGATGGCCTACCAAAGGTTCACTTCACTGAGAGGCAGAGGCGTGCCCAGGGAGTGGCCTGGGGCAGCGAATGCCACCCTTGGAATCTGATTGGCCACCCCAGGTGCCACCACACTGAATTCCCTTTAAATGGGCTTTTCATTGTCCACAAAAGGCTTGAGGTAAAAAAAAAAAAAAAGGCAAAACAATTGGTGCCACCCATGCACAAAGTAGTGCCTCACATGGGCCACCCCATTTTAAAAGATCTGGACACGCCACTGCTGAGAGGGTACCCCAGGAAACTCTGGTCAGACCCAGGCACCTACTTTGTAGCAGCCAAGCCTGCTCTGGAAATGCTGTACAAATTCCTTGACCAACCGAACAAGTCTGAAGTTGAAGACCTAGCTGCCAAGCATGGATCAGAATGGGTTTGGAAGATCCACCCTGCAGATTCTCCTCATAGAAATGGTGCAGCAGAGGCAGCTGTCAGAATCGTGAAGCGGGCCCTAATCAATCTTGGTGGAGATGGTATCTTCAACTGGGGACTGATGTTTATAATGCTGGTAGAGATGTAGCTACAGTTGTGATGTATGAGTGTTATTTTATGTAACCTAGTATTTATTTTACTGTATCCCATTCTCTGGACCAGAGCATAGACCTGTGGTCACAGACAGGCTGCAGTCATTAAACTGGTAAACGTGAGGCCAGAGGTCACACTTTTTTCTGTGTTTGCAACACAGTTCTGAGTTTAAATTGGTCATTTGAAATATTTTGCTCAAGTCAAGTACCTGTTTAGTAATAAATGTAAAGAAAATTCAAATCCGTTTTTTTTTTCATTTAAGCTGCAGTTTTACAGACTTTAATAAACATAAACACTAAATACAAACCAGACACTGAAAGCTGAGGTTGTTTGGAAAAAATGAGCAGAGTTACAAACATTTTGCACTTTTATTACAATTTTAAAGCCAAAAAACAAAAATAAAATAAATACCTGTTATATTTATGGTCATAAGAGGGTTAACCGTGATAAATTTCCCACCTCCCACAAAGAGATGGTAAAATTGAATGTGAGCATAAATTATGCGTTTTATGACTTCATGATATATTTTTTTATTATTGACTATTTCTCCAAAGCATTCAAATAAAGGCAACTGGACTTAACAAATGTTTTACTTCTCATCTGAGGAGCTTTGTCAATTCTAACTGGAATTTGGGAGAGTCAAGCTTATAAGCTGTAGCTGTCGTTATTTAAAGAGCAGAAACTACTCTGAGTACCCCTCCTCTCCATCCCCTGATGAGTCGTTAGCCTCTATTGATGGTGAGTCATCGTGTTGATTAGATGCAGGAAGGTGTGACCTAGACTGAAACTGCTTAGGAATGAGATTCAAATCTGCATTATAGGTGTTGGAAAGGTGAAATCTAAGCCCCGCCCCTATTTAAAGTGGATTTTTCATGTTTGACATAGATAGATTCTTTTACTCCTCTCTCAAACCATCTATCTTCTCTGTCCAGAATGTGGACTTTGTCATCTTCAAAGGTGTGTCCCTTGTACAGATTCTTGACCTGAAGAGGTGGCTCTCCTGTGTTGTGCCATGTTCTTGTGTAATTGTTGTTTAGTTTTCCCAATGTGGAGATCTGGACAGTCCTCACTACATTGGACTGCATAAACGAACTCACCGAGCTTCTTTTTGGGTGTTGTGTCTTCTGGATGGACCAGTTTCTGTCTGAGGGTGTTGTTGGGTTTAAAGTTTACTGGGATGTTGTGTTTGGGGAAGATTCTTCTCAGTTTCTCTGAGACTCCTGCCACGTATGGGACGACGGTGCCTTTGCCCAAAGGGTGTTGATGTTAGGTTGGTAGCAGAGCTCTCATGTTTAGCGTTAAGTTCAGTGAGATCATGGAATGGGATCAAGATTTTTCTACTGACAGGAAAAAGATCTCAGCTAACATAGCTGTACATTACACTGGATAACTTTCTGTGGCTGCATTCATTTTACATTTATTTTACTACCTTTTCCTAGAGCTGTCCTTAGTAAGCGCAAAGTCACTTTGGTTGTACACCTGTGCAATAGCAATAAATTATCTTGAATCTTGATTCCTGTTAAATGTACTTCCTGAATGAGTGACCTTTTAAGGCTAAAATAACAAAATGACAAATACAGTCAGAAGAGCGACTACTTTCTTCTTTTTTTAATGCATTGCATCACCACCTGGTATCAGAACAGGACTCAGTATTGGAAGATAATCAAAATTCAAACAACTTGGACTCGGATCAGGGGCAGAAATGTGGTTTTAACATCTCTAGATATGTCAGCTTTAAAAACTAAAACAATTATTTATTAACTAACATTAACACTAATATTAATGACACTAATTGATATATTTTTATTATGTTGTTTGAACTCAAGGGTCTCATTATCTGAGTTTTCTAACTTGTTGGATTGTGAATCTGTTTAAAAGTTTTGCTCTATAAGTGCCCCTTTTTTTACTTTGAGTACCCGCCCCGTCAAAGGTCTCTGCACGGCCCTGCCTGGGGTGAATTTCAAACCTTTCTCTTCATGGCAGAGAAACCATTGGATTTGAGAAACCACAAGCTCAAGTGGGAGGTGTTGAGTTAAAACTGAACAATTGGAGGTGATAGTGCTCAACTGCCACTGAGAACTACATCCCCCAGAAAGCACCAACAAAATGGCCACCATTGGTGATGAAAAACACCTGGGCAAAGATGGTGGGGGTAAACTAGGAAGCAAGCTCTACTCATAAGTTGACTCTAAAGACGCCAAAGGATGGTAAATATGACTTTGTTTATGATGTTAAGTTAAGCTTGACCATTAAAGTCATGTCGCTTATGAGTTTGTTTAAATACATGTGTTTTCAAGCATGTAGGCAGTTGATTTGTCATTGTCTTTGTTGCACTTGATGCTTTAATTTCCCTTTTTTAAAAAGAATAGAAACCTTGATTCATTGATTGAATTTTAGTGATTCAGTCATGTTTTAATTTATTTATTTACAATTTTAGTGTAGGACAATTTAGTGTAGGAAGTTCTTTGTTTATTGTATTTTATATAAAATGATGTGATGTTTAACACTTGTCTCTGTACTTTGAAGGTTATCAACCTGATGACTTAACTACATTAATCATTAAACTGGAATAAGAAAGACTGATGGAAAGTGAAAATAAGGAGTTGTTCCAGAGTGTCCCTTTGGAGTGTGTTTTAATATTTTCCTACAAACCTAGAAATTTCTGAGCTTTCACAGGTAAAAATTCAAATCCGTACATTTATTGTATAATTTTATGCCAACAATTTATTTATTTTCAAGGCTTAAATAGCGTCAAGCTTTCAGCCGATTGCTCTTTAATAATAATCATAAGTTGGTGCTAAAATACTATTTGAGTTGTCTTTGGTGTTTTTCTTGGCTTTAATGAAAAAATGAGAACACACTGGATCTTCGTGACAAGCTGCTTGTTACACAGTGGCTTAAAAAAATGTTGGCTGTATTAATCTTCTGAAAAATATCTAAACTATTTCAGCTTTTGTTCAAACAAAAGGTAATCTTCTGCTCATCTCACCAGACATAAAATCTTTACATAAGCACAGCTGCTGTTGTTTAATCAGATCTGAGATGACATTCTTTTGGATTTTCTGCACGACTGAAAACATTTTGTATAATGAGTAGTTTACCCCATCTAGTGGCGTTTCAGTGAACAACACAAAGAGAAGCAGCACAGATTGCTGTTTATCCAATCATCCTGTTTTTAATACAAATCCAAGATACAATATCTACATCTATGGTCTGTAAGGAAAGAACAAGTACATAAGTGAGGGGTATGGCATCATCAGAGCTGGCCCTCAACACGTTTCATCTTATGTTTTCGCGTGTGCCTTTTAATATTTCTCTTGACACAATAACCATTAGAAATCAACGGAGTAACATATTTCATATAAGCTGAACATCGTCAAGACTCCAGGACCACACATAGAGTTCATATGAGAATAATTTCAGATTCAAACAATAGCTTTTTCTTCAAGGGCGTATAAAGTGTCTAGCTAGACGACGCTTAACCATTCGCTGTCAAAAATACACCTGCTACCATGTACTTCCCAGCAAACTAAACACCAGCAGCTCGTCAGGACAGGATCGCTGGATCTCTAACTCCTCAGACGCCCGGGATGCCATCGCAGAGGGGTGGAAGGAACCTCAGCATCAGCATCATCCCGCGGCAGGTAGAGCGGAGGAGGAGGAGGACGGGGATCAGGATCTCTGCCTCTAATTTACATCTTTAGCTAACTAGTCAGACATCAGTAATTAGTATCAAATAGCACCCTACACAGAGGGCATACGTCATCATTACAAAGCAAATAAAAAACACCAAAAATGACCGTTACAAAAATAAAAAATAAAACTGAGACATCACCCTTCGACATCGGCTCGCCGGTAAAACGCACAAATATTCATAAAAGTTGCTAGAAATCCAAAATAAATAAAAACAAAATGAAAAATAACTAAATAGAATCATAAATATCTTTAAAAATGATATGAAATAAATATGCTGAAGTGAGCGATAATAAGGCTTTTTCTTTTTTAGCGACAATAAGCACTACATCATATCCGGTCCCATGTTATATATCTTGTGCACAGATGTATGTAGAGGACTCTGGTGATAGATTGTATGTACAAAAGTGGTGAATTGGCCCAAGATGTCTCAATCTGGGGCATTACTGTGCTCTTTAATCGCTGCATGAGACCAGTAACGATTATATTTAAAACTAGGAGGAGATATACATCGATACCGAGGGGCAGGTGCAGGTCAACTTGCATACAGAGCCATTAATCAATTTCCCTTTGGGATTAATAAAGTATTTTTGAACTGAATTGAACTGAATTAAAAGGAAGAGGAAACTCTAAAGGAGGGTTTTGTGGAGGAGGGGAGGAAAAAGGAAATGTCCGTCATGATCCTACATCACCTTTTAACCTGAAAATGGGGAAAAAACGGATCAAATGAATGCAGAATTTAACTGCAGAAGTGGCGTGATTCAAGTATAGGAGAGGAATATGAAGAGGACCATCATCAGCTGAAGATAATTTACAAGGATAACAATTTAAGCACACGAGCTGTAGGCAGCATGTTGAAAGACAGAAAACATAAAAACGCCAAAATAAGGCCAAACAACCCCCAGAAATAAAAACATTTCTTGCATCACTTTCAAGAGGAACTAATGGTGGAGGAATGAACAGCAAATAACAACCAAGCTCTGTTAATGGAGTCCAGATCGGTGGGCTCTGACTTCTGCTCAGAGGTCAGCGGTTTACTCACCGAGAGCACAAATCATGAGTGAGAATGCTTTGTTTAATCTAACTTGATGCTGGATAATAAAGGGAGCCGCCTCTCCTTGTAGGCCTCAGTTCTTGTTCACGCTGCATGGTTTAATCTTGGCACTGTGCATCTGGTAAATGAGCATCCACATGCTTCTCCGGGCGGTGAGTCCAAACTGCCGATGCTTTTGCAGCCGGATCTGCCTTCAGTAGCAGTAGACACCTTTGCAATAGACTCAGACATAGAAATGTCCACTCGGTAACTCCTTTAGAACATCAAACTAATAGATAGAAAGTTGAGGATAAAAAGCCCATTTAGGGTGCAGCAAATATCCAGGCTCTTTGTGTTTTTTTCCCTTAAATCTTTTAGTATTTTACACACATTGGAGTATCCGAACTCCTGTTCAGAAGCCATTCGTTATTTCACTGCTTCATACTGGAGATAGTTGACCACAACACACATGTATTATATGTCCTTCACACTGGAACACTGAGGTAAGTATATGGATTACACATAGAGAACCTCCTCGCTCATCAGGGAACGCGCTGATGAGCTCCGAGTGCTGTCAGAGTTGCTGTTTTTGTGTCGCTTGGTGGCGTCAAGTTAGATTCTGCATCCGAGAAATGTTCACGTTTGTGTCGGGACCACCTTTCTCTCGTGTCGCTTGTTGGTTTGTTGAGTTTGACCTCGAAGCAGAAAGATGGTTGCACGGTTGTCTGTTCTCTTATGTTGCATAGTGGTCAAAGCTACCCAGGTACTCGAGAGCAGCCTGGTAGCAGAACTGGTACTCATCCTGGGTGACACACAGAGGAGAAACAGGTAAGTCCTACTGCTAGTAGAATACCATAGATGTTTCTTTGTTGTAAAAAGTTGGAATAAAAGACCTTTGAGAAAGGCTATTTATAATCAGGGGTGTGTCCAAGGAGTGGCCTTGGGTAGCACATGCCACCCACAAAATGTGTTTGGCCACCCCACTGAGTTACATTTAAAATGACTTTCCATTATCCACAAAAGGCTTGGGGTTAAACCCCCAAACAGTAGGTGGCAGCATGCACTTTGAACATTGGTTTGTAGTCCTGGCTAACAGAACATTTCTGTATTATGAATATTATTTATTGCTTTTTTCATATTGACATCAATTGAATTTACTCCACACCAGTTGGTGGCAGTAATGCATCAAGAAGTGGCTTGCTAACCACCACAAAACAGCTCAAAGAAGAAAAATGGAAACAGCCACTTTGGAAGCAATAATGTGCAAATCTCTAATTTTTATCAATTCAATGTTTTTAAATGTATCAAAGGACCGTTGAGGCTTTATAAAGTATGTTCTGTGAATGAACCTTCTGAAGAACAGCCTCAGTTGTGAACAGAACAATAAGCTAACAGCTAATCCGAGCAAGACTAAGGATCTGGGGTCTCATTTATCAAACATTGTGTAGAATCCTTACCGTACTTAAGCTCAGCAAAAAAAAAACATACTTACGCCAAGTAGGTTCGTGATCTATCAAACATGGAGTACGCACAGCTGCACGCAATCTCCGCTTCATGAATCGGAGACTAACAAGGTTCTCAGCTGCTTTTTAGTCACATCCCGCCCTCATCACGCCCACTTACTGCCATAAATAGTCAATGCAAAGTGCCTTGTGGATCTCATGCATATACATAAGCCGGCTGTTGCAGCGCTCCGCCAATGACGATGGCGACCGTAGATCAAGGCAGATCAAGGAAGCACAATTTCACAGAAGCAGAAATTGAGGTACTTGTAGGTGAGGTGGATAAATGAAAGGAAGTACTTTTGCAAAACAAATAAGAGAAAATCCTACGGAGTGGCACAGCGTTGCTGAAGCCGTCAATGTTGTGAATTCTTCAGAGAGATCTGTGGCGGATATAAAATAAATGGTCCAATTGGGATTAGATCCCCAGACTCCCAGGTGAAAGTCACACATGCTAACAAGTCACCCAAACAGAGATCTCCCTTGTCCAAGTAGGCAGGGCGGATAATTAATTGGGTCACAGTGACTGGACACACACTGTTTCGGACGCATGACATTCTGTCTCAATCTGCCCCCCTGCTGATATTCTGCATTCCATGTTCTGTGCATCAGGCTGCGTGTGTGTGTGTGTGTGTGTGTGAGAGTGTACGCGCATGTGTGTGTAGGCGCGCGTGTGTGTAAGTGCGTGTGGAGGGTCTTGTTCTGTGTGAAAACGAAGCAGTACAAGTGATAATGCTGCAGGATTTCATAATTGTATCCTTCTCAGCAGCAGCACTGCAGGTGCTCTCCATGTCTACAATGTGCGTAAGCCAGGTCCTTAGTCAACTTAAAGTTGCGCACATTTTTCCGCTAAGTTTCCTTTCATAAATCCCAAAGTTTGCGTGGAAAGTTGCTTACGCAGTTTTCCGACCCCGTTTTGTGTGTAAGCAAGCTTGATAAATGAGGCCCCAGTGCATTAGAGAAGGGGTTCCCAATTTTTTTCCTTGAAGACCTCCTTGCTCATTTCTAAGACAAAGCAATTTTCCAGGAGCGGCCATGGCCACCCCTTCGGGGTGCCGCTGGTGGGGCAAAGTGGAAAGAAAAAGAAAATAAGCAGTGTTGCTGCCATTTTAAAATCACCTTACTCCCAAAACCAAAAAATAATGTGGAAGCCCCCCCACAAGTTTTACGCTGCTTTGTGCTCTCCTACAGAGCGCTGTAAACAACAGTGCTATAGAGTGTTGCATTATACATTACACTGGTCTCGAATGAATTAAATTACGGCATACATTCATTGCGCTAATCCGGGGGTCGGCAACCCGCGGCTCTGGAGCCGCATGCGGCTCCTCCATCCATCTGATGCGGCTCTCTGTGCTTGTAAAATAATGAATGGATATTTAAATAAAATGCTTTATATTTTACTGCATTAATTTTACATCTGTAAGCTAATTCTAAAGTACAGATTGTCTGCGTAAACCTGAACAGTTCCAACCCGGTCTTACTGTGAGACCGGGTTGACGGGTCACGCTTGTGCGTAATCAAAGGCGCTGTCTGAGCTGAAGAGGATATGAGATTCTGGGATTCTCCTCAGACGGCTCATGGATGTGACGCCACATTGGAGACAGGAACAAGCGCTATTCAGCCAAAATTTCATAATCAGGGTACATTTTCTAAGTGACAAGTCTCTCTGAGAGACAGGGTTTGGAAAACGCTCGCTTCAGTAGGAGGAATCTTCCTGCATGCGCTCTGGTTCTGCGACGCGCTCCAAGCCCCTCTCCACATCTTCAGCTCGCTGTGCACCTTACGTACGCGCTGACAGTGAGCTGCGCTGAGCAGTGTCCAGCTCAGATGTTCAGAGGGAAATCTTTTCTTGAGTGATTTAGCTACATCTGCGATGTGCGTAACGAATAAAACGTCAGCTCGTCTGCGTGCGTCAGGGTAATTCTTTCTCCGTCAAAATAAACGGTCAAATACGGGAACTATCTGGTCAACACAAGCCCTGCTTTTAACTGTTCTGTTTTCTTGTGAAAATTGTTGCAAAGAGATAAAATTTAACTTGATTAACACCAGAGCCAGGCGCACTGCGCCGTTATCTCCGTCACTGTAAATGAGGGAAAAACAAACTGATCGGATCCTTTTCTGACCTTCCCCACCTACAAAGTTTAATTACAACAATCAAACGTGACAGAGCCTGGATTTGTATTCTGAACAGTCTAAACATGTTTTAAAAAGAAACGTATGACAAAAGTGGCACCTGCTCTGTGAAACCACCAACAGGGTGAAAAATATCAAAATATTGTCGGCAGAGACGGGCTACAACTTCTGGATCCACTTTATATAAATCGTTTTATTGATTATCTTCTTATGAAAGATAACTCTGACGTACACGAGCGACCGGTACTGGCTGCTGTCACCTGTTGTGATTGGTTAAAGCAGCGCTCTGCTGTCTGAGGGTAGGCCCCGCCCACAACGCCGCGGCTGCTGTGGCTCCCAGTGTTTTCTTTACTGTGGGAAACGGGTAATAATGGCTCTTTGATGGGAACAGATTGCCGAACCCTGCGCTAATCAGTGACATCACTCCCTGCCAAAACTGTGGCAACATGCTGACGTCTTAATAAAGCCCTGAATGAAATGACTTGGCATGGAGAAGCAGCAGCTGAGAGGACCGAGCCAGCGTCCTTCCCCCGTCACATCCCCTCCTCCTAGAAATTTCCCAGAACTCTTAAAATGGAAACGAGGCTATTGGCACAAAGAACCCACATTATAAAATTTTTAGCAGAAATGGACATTTTCGGCTCAGATAAAAGTTTTCTGTCCAAGATTTATCCGTTTGATTCATTGAGTGTAAAGCATCGTTATGCTTAAATAACTAAAAATCATCAAGCGGCTTCACGAACAGGAAATCCTCACATCTGGACATGCTCAGGTAGGACTGGACTTGGACATGTGCTTACCTCAGTCTGCACCATGGCTGGTCTCTGTGTGCGCAGCATTTTGACAGTTTGGAAGATGTCCACTGCCCCCTCGTAACGCATTCTCTCCAGGACGATACTCAGAGTGATGAAGACACCGGTCCGTCCAACACCAGCACTGCAGCCATGAAGAAAGATGGTTAGGCTTCATCATAAATAAGAGTTATAATAAAATGCACAGCGATGAGGGCAGCACATCACCTGCAGTGGACGGCGATTGGCCCGTCCTGGCCGAACTGCTCCTTGGTTTTGTGCACTTGGCCAATGAAGTCGATGAAGCCTTCCCCAGATTTGGGCACGCCTTGTTCAGGCCAGTCAGTGAACTGGAACTGGCGTACTGTTCTAGACTGGCCGTCCTAAAGGAAGCGAGTGAATTGGAGGAATCAAGAAGATGTAAATATCTCAGGAACAACAAAAGGACCTAATGTCTTATTAACGTTTATGCAGAAAACGTGTGGTTGAGATCCGTTCACAATGACTATTTACAGAACTTCTCGGCATATCGACTGAGGGGAGAGGATCTGCCAGGCAATATCCTCTTTTTCTCCTTCTAATGATTACTGTTATCTGACCCTGGATCAGTTAGCTGTGGTTAACTTAAAGCTGTAACGTCAGTACGTCTGCCACTGTCAGCCACTCAGCAGGCAATTACATCTTTTCTCTTCTGCTCAGCCTTTCTGACTCCCCTGTAATGGAGATCAATAGAGCATCTGTCGATATGGAGTCACTGCAGGCCATGCTTAACTGGACTTATCTATGACTGGCACATGTGTGTACGTGTGTACATGCACACTGCCAGGGTAATCTGGAGGCGGCATGGTTGACTGGGTAGCCGACAGCATCTCGTCAATAATGTGAACCTGTCACGATACGCACATTCAAATTCGAAACCCCTGCTTTGCAACACACACGACAGGTCGATAAGACACGTTTTGCATCGCTGCCCCCTAACGACGCCGAAGGAACTGAGCTGCAAACTCAAACCGGATGTAACAACGACAGGATGCATCATACAGGAGTAGGAGGAGAAGACTCACCCTGGCATCTGTGACTTTGAACTCCCGGAGGATGTACTGGGGCATGTTGTACTCTGCCATCGGGTCGACCACGAAGTACTGATACCTGGCTGAGCGCTCAGCGGGCCAGTACTGGTGGCACTTCTCCTGATTTATCAGAGAAAATTAGCATGTTTAAACTCACTAGCAAGGTAAATCGGTTATTTCTGGCCTTTTTAATGAAGTGTAAAAGGACCGTACCCGACCCATTTCTCTCAGCTTCGTCAGCATGACCACGATGGTAGAGTTGTGTTCCCAAAGCATCCTCCAGAAGTCCTCCGTAGTCTCCGCCAGTGGGCCCTGGGTGGCAATGTAGCCTCTTTGTTGCCTACACACACAAACACACAAACACTAAGAAGCCACCTCCTGTCCCCATTCTCCTTCTTTCTTCCTCTGCCAAGCATCACACTAAAAACGGGGTCAGGCTTCAGGCAACAAGAGGAGCAGTCATAACAGTTGTGTAAAAGCACGCTGAACGGCTGAATCATCAGGAAGACGAGACGAATCATAGGAAGGAGAACGGAGCAATGACAGATCCGACCCGACGCGGTGAGAAGCTCTCCGATCCATTCACTTATCAAAGCAGGACGAAAGGGGCGGCTGGGTCAGGTCAGATCAGTGTTTGTGAGAGAACATCATACCTGTATCCATCTATATAGCTGGCGTTGATGTAGTCGGAGCCTTCCAAGCCTCTGATTGGCTGGAGGCACACACGAGTGGTTTCATAGGGCATGATGTTCACCAGTCGGTTCTTGAATTTGTTGCAGGGGAGATTGGCTGTGACAAACCGGGACGTGTGGGCTTTGGTGTTAGCCAGGCGCTGGAATAACAGAGAATAAAAATGTAGGGCAATGCATGTAGATTCAGCACACCAGAACGGAGGATGATTTAGGACTACACTAACATAACTCCCCCCACAGAGATTAGATTAAAAGGGCAGTAAAGAAGTTATTTAATCTTTATGGATTATCTGTTAACAACTTAACTTTGAGTTTCGAGTTTTCTGCATATTTTTGTTCCTGATGATCTCTGAGGAAAATGTTCCCTATTTGAATGGGATTTTTATATCAGGGCAAAATACATATTTAAGCAGTTTGTTTAAAAAGCAAACCTACAAAAAAGATCACATTTAGAAAAGTGGAACATGTCAGGAGTTCAGCTTTATCTTACTTGAGTCAAAATGAGACACAAGTAAAAAACTAAATATTTTAATATAATCAAAATGGGAACATTAAAGTGACAAAGTGTATTTCTCAGGCGATAGGGGGCAGTAGATAGCTAATCATTGCAAACAAGCCGTATTTTTGTGTGCAAGTAAGACGTTACCAACGGATGGCCATTAGTGTCAGAAATGCCTGTGAGTGCAACCTTCAGCAAAATGGCCGTCGCATCAGACTCGCTTTCATCACTTTAACGAGCAAAGTGGTAAATGTGTAAAACAACAACGTTTAGAAATGGTGAAAGTTTTGCAACAGTTTGTTACTAATCAGTAAATGTGTTTGGTCCTCCTGGGCTCCCGTAGAAGGAAACATGGCGTTGCCCAGAGACTTAGGGTGTGTCCGAATCCACAGGAAGGATGCTTATGAGTACGGGTCCTCGCCGGTCTAGCAAGGCCGGGTCCTTGAAGACCGCTAAAACCGGAACCCAGAGGCTCTGAATTCGGACAGTCTAGCCTTCACCTCTATGGTGGCCCGTAGGTCCCATCACAGCCGTGGCGGCAGCTACACGCAAAGGAAAAATGCTAAAGCTAGCGAAAATGGAGCAGGAATATTAAGGAGCTACAGCAGCTTCACGTCCATCAGCAGCGTTTGTTCACAACCGTTTTCAGGTAAAGTAACTTTGTTTGTTCTAGAAGCTTTCAGGACTTACATGTTAACTTTAGATGGTTTCATGTATGTTTTAAGCTACAGAATGAACTTGTTAAACGTACACAACACATTACTACAGAGTATTATCATGTAGGTAATTAATATAAACCAAATGCATTATAAATGTCGAATGCAGTAGGATGTTTTCTAATGTAAATTGGACCTTAGAACTTATTTTGCAAATAAGTTCAAATGGGGGTAAAACGTTTTAAAAAACAGGCTTTTCAATAAAATAGCATTGAAGTGTTTTCAATGTGCATTTGTTTATTCAACTTAAGCCTAATAATGATTAGATCTGTCTTAAAAATGTAAATTCTCTGCAGTTTTTATTTAACTATTCCCTGCTGCTTTTCTTTAAACTGAACAGAACCAGTGTACTGCAGGTTATAGGTTTGTTTTACATTTTTCTATTAAAAAAACTCAATCTATTACAGGTCAGCATGCACTGTGCTGCACATCTGCAACGGTGCTGGTGAAGTTGTGGGTCTGGAGGATGAGCCTGAGGAAGATGTGTGCGGAGGAGGTCAGTGGTGCTCTGTCCCGCAGGAGGTACCAGCAGACCACCACTATTGTTAACAGGCAAGTCATTCACAGAAATGTAACAGCCGTCGTCTGAGCCAGCCCAGCAGGCCCTGTAGATGGACGATGGAGTGGACAGTGAGAGGAAGCGTCCCAAAGCTCTCTGCAGATCGTCCTGTAGGATGTTCCTCTGACCAGAAACATCCAGCCACGAGTCTGCTCCAGCCCTCCATCCACGTCTGGATCCTCCTGCAGCACATCCAGCTGCACTGTTAGACTTTCTGCTCACTCATTTTAAATAAATGATCCAGGAGGAGTCACTCAGGTTAATCCTGTTTTAACCGTACATAACTGGTCCATACTGGTTTTGATCTGTAAATAAGTGTAACGTATTATAAACAATCTTGTCTCCTTACCATCTTTTCATCTTCTGTTCATGTAACATGTTCAAAAAACATCTAATAAAATTGGTGATAAAATCAATGACCAGAAAGAGTTATCAGTTAGTATTTGTTTCAGTAAATGTGTTCAAATATCAAACAACTAAATAACATTAACATGATGACAGTAGAAGGCCTCTCTCCCAGGAGGACCAACAGGTAAAGCCTCTCCAGACCCTGGACACCTGCAGTCCTAAACAGAAAACCAGATCACAGGTGACAAAAAGGCAATAAACACATTTTTACATTTATCCACATGAGAAGATAAAAATTATATTCTTCACACAAACTTCTTACTTAATTAAAATGGGTCAGCTGTGTAAATCTCTGAATGTAAAACTACTTTTCACAGAAGAACTTCTGTGGCTGTGTGTAAACAGCTTCACTCTTAACCTCCAAGCTTAATAAAAACGCTTCTTTGCTCCGTTGTCCTTAAAACAAATGACAAGTTTAATTCGCTACACACACACACACACACACACACACACACACACACACACACACACACACACACACACACACACACACACACACACACACACACACACACACACACACACACACACACACACACACACACACACACACACACACACACACACACACACACACACACACACACGGGAATAACTGGGACCCGCGATACAAACTCGTTCTGGCTGATTTCTGCCTAAAATGTAATTTAAAGAACAAACATACAAACGAAAAATATCTATAAACTGAACCGCTTTTTAGGTTTCTACGGCTAGTTTTTAACAAACTTACGTTTAAAACTTTGTAGCTCTCCCCATTTTGTCTTCCTGCTGAAAAACCACAGCCGGTGCCCAAAGCATGCTGGGATAGCCTTGTTCTGTGAGGATACACCAGACCCGTCCTTGAAATGTGGGCGGAGCGAGGACGCGAGAATGAGTGTTCTTGGAATTCGGACAGTACTCGTCGCTGCGCTGTGACGTCATCGCACTCTTACAAGCATCCTTCCCGTGGATTCGGACACACCCTTAGACCCACTCCCGTGTTTATTAGACCCAATTTTTATGGTTATACCTTACAAGCCTCCAATATTTTTCAACAACTGGGCTTCATTTAATCCATTTTCAACAACTTTTCGATGGCTATTTCCAGAAATGAATGGCAAAAACTACACATTGTCTCATTAAGGTATTTTTGTTCTTTTTTTCTTTATTAAACTATTTATTATGGAAGCCCTGAAAGGCAAGAGAATTTATTTTGTTTTTGTGGCATTTTTCTAAGGTTATTATTTATTTCCCACTTCTCATCCAACAACCAGCAAAAATGTATTTTTATGCTTGTAAAATTTTATGGTATTTTTTTGCTCAAGGTGAAAAAAAATTCTAAAGAAATTTCCAAAAGTAAATATCACATTTTTTCATTTGCTGAGCAGGAAAAAAAACACTTTACAAGAGAAAAACACACTTTTTGCTGATTGTTGGATGAGAGGTGGGAAAGAAATAAGAAAAGACAAAAAAATGCCACAAATAAATAAATACAAACAATCTGTTGCCTTTCCGGGCTTCCGTAAATCTTTACTGCTACTGTAAACATTAATATTTAAGTTGACAGTTTAAGTTTTGTTTTGCAGAGCAAATTCATACAAATTACAACAAAATTAAACTGTAGTGATGTTTTAGTGCTTTTGAATTATTTTTCTTTACAAAATGCTGAACAATATCAAATTTTTGACAGGTAACAAAAAAATTTGGATTTGTTTAAGTTCCAAATAATATTTAGTATTTAAAATATATTTATATACACAAAACAGTTTAATAGATCAAGATCAACATTATTTAATGACCTATTAAATATTTATTACAACATTTTATTCTCAGAATCAAACTTTTTTGTTCTCTTTGACCCCAGACGGTATTCCCACCTTAAACTCCAGCTCCATGCCAGTGATGTGCTCTCCAGGCTCCACCTTGGACAGTTTCTGCATGTAGGAGTAGAGACTGCGGGCCGCAACCTCAGTGTTCCCACAAGCCACGGCCTCCAGCAGGGCCTCGTGGATGAAGCTGTACTGGTCCTCCGTCTGCACCATGTAGTTCCTCTGAGAGCGCATTAGCGTCACGTGACCATAGATGTCCACGGTGCGCTCATGCCGAATACGCTCCAGCATGGCGTCGATGACGATGAAGCAGCCGGTGCGACCGACACCGGCACTGGGGAAAAAGGAAACGTTTAAAATAAGGGGAAAACCTGACCATGTTCCTTTCTTCACAACAAAACAAATGTTAAAGCTCAGATTTCGATCTATCTGTTTCACATACGTCTAACATGCACCCTCATCTTACTTTAAATGAGTTGTTTTGAGCATGAAAACCTTCAAGTTAGCAACATTTAAAAGTAAACTTAAGTGCAAATTGTTGGATTTGTGCACACCTGCAGTGAACAATGATGGGTCCAGCATCCGGGGGGTTGCAGGCTTTGACCCTGCGTAGGAAGTTGAGGAAGGGGGTGGGATACTCTGGAACGCCGTGATCGGGCCAGGCTGTGAACTGGAACTGACGTACCTCTCTCCTCTCACTGCTGCCACTCTGATATTAGAAACAATCAGAAGAAATCTGACTCAATAACAGCAAAATGTTCATTAAACATTCAGTAATTTGTGTTCAGGAAGGTTTTAATGTAGAAAACAAAACTTTTTGTGCTGCTTAACACAACCGTTTCAATGCTGTAGTAAGAATGTTTTAAAAAAAAGGTCAACTCTGTGCTGCACTCTGCTGTTTTTAATGTTTTTAGCATCTGGATGTTTCACAGGATGTCACACAAGAATCTAGAGGAGCTGTGCTGCACTGAAAAGCTCCAGCTGGCCTAGTTTCTGTTTGTAAGTAGGCCACAGGGACATGTCATCCTGACGGTCCTAGATTAGCCCCTTGCTAGAGAAACCGCTCCGCTTCCAGCAGTCACTCCATCTCAGTGCCTGAGTAAGGAACTCAGCAGGATGTCCAAACTAATCTATCGGCCTGCGTGGAACAATACTCAGGGATGACGGGGAGATTGATGATTAGTGCGGCTGCACCTGGGCTCAAGCTCGTGGGGGTGGAGGAAAAGGGTGGAGCAGGATCAAACAAGGGGCATGGGGGGAGGAGAAAGGAGCAAAAGCACTCACTTTGTGGAGGGAGAAGGTGCGAACGCAGAAGGTTGCCAACTCCATGGTGTCCAGCAGCGTGACCTGAACCATCCCGTATGTCTCTGTGCCGCGGCTCGGCCAGTACTGATCACACTTTATCTGTTGGAATAAACACAAACCAGCATCGTCGTCCCTTCTAAGACCTTTTTTTAAACGCAGATACTCTTAAAATAAAACCTGCAGGGAGAACAGACACTAGGCCGGTGTGTGACGGTGCTCCAGATAATAAAACCAGTGTATTTGGGTTTGTAGGTAACGGCCTGGTGTCCTACCCGTGACTTCTCCTCCAGGCGCGTCATCATGACAACAGATGCGGTCCTCTGCTCCCACACCATCCTCCAGAAGTCCCCAAATGTCTCAGCCAGGGGCCCCTGGGTGGCGATGTAGGCATTCTGCTTCCTGTAGCCGTCGATGTAGTTGGAGTTGATGTAATCACTTCCCAGGATGCCTGTTAAATAAAATAAAAATAAAAAAAACACAGCTCCTAGGTAATCTGCATACATGACTAAATAAATTAACCTGTGTGTGTGTGTGTGTGTGTGTGTGTGTGTGTGTGTGTGTGTGTGTGTGACATCAAACGGCCCAAGACAACGTTCGTTTCTAGCTGCTGCAGCTTCGTCACAGAGGCAACAAACAAACAAACAAACGGAGCTGTGCTGATGTAAATTCATGAGCTGCAGATCAAACCCTTTCTCCTCCTTGTTGTTCTGCAGAAGAGCTGGCTGCACTTGAACGCATCCGAGCCGTTTGTCAGTTTCAAACCGCTGCACACAGCAGGTCTCGGCAGAGTTTACAGTTTCTGATTTTATCTACGTGCTGACCCGTTGAACTCAGATTTGCCCCCCTCACCTTCTACGGGGGCCAGGATGACTCTGGTGTGGTCGTAGGCGATGACGTTGGCGTAGCGGTTTTTGGGCTTGTTCACCTCCAGGTTGGAGTGCTCCCAGGTAAACTGCTGGCTGGGGTCGATTGACTGCAGAGACACAATAAACGCACCTGTTAACGCCGTGCGGCGGCGTAGCGACGCTGCAGGTTAATGAAATCAGTGCGCCGTGTCACGCAGACGGCAATAAATCACACGGCTGAATAAATCATGAACTTCTAATCTGTACACAGATAAACAAACATTAAACAACACGCTCTTTATGAACACCTCCAAACAATCAGGATGTTGTCTGTTTATTTATGCATCTGAAATGATGATGCATCACTCGCCTCGTACTCCTGGGACAGCCTCAGGTTGTCGTTGGCTTTCAGCAGCTCGATGTGCTCAGCCAGCTCGCTGATGGGGATGGGGGGGTGGCTCATCATGCCTGCGCAACACAAAAGGGTCAGAGGTGAAGGAAAAGTCATCCAAATGACCCAAATCGCTGCAGGTCGGCGTCAACCGCGGTGTGAAGATGCGACGATAATTACGCGACGGGGCAACACCTCGTACCATTAAGGAAAACGTCGAGGCAGAAAATCGATTTTTATTCATGTGTGAGGACAACGCCGGACCAGGCTGGTTTGTCTGTAAATAGTTTTTCTTTGATAAATTGCTTTCTCTGTGATCAGAGAAGCAGCGACACAGAGAAAACAAACAGACAGAACACTAATTAGGTGCGCTGCACACACACACGGATGCATAAAGGAAGCTACCCATGGCTCTGGCTATCATTTCTATTCACAGCTGGAGATAAAAAAGGATGCAAACCATCATCACTTAAAAGGTTTACATCAGAGGCATTTCCTGAGTTAAAATCTTTTCAGAGAAGCTTTTAGAATCTTCTGCATTTATCAGTTCCCTCCACAGACCGACAGCGTTCACAGGTAAGCACGACAAAACACTCCTGGCACGACCAAAATGACCCCAGACATCATCAGCCGCATGGATTTCTATTTATTTTGTGCAATAATGAATTTCAGTGCATCGAGCATCTGAAAGCACGAGTTTCCTGGGAGAGGAAGAAGGAGGAGGAGGAGGAGTGGGCGAGGAAGAAGTTTCAAGGTTGCTGCCATGCAGGAAGAAAAACACATTCTCCTGATGAAAGAGAGGAGCTGTGCTCGGTTGGTGCAGTGGTTTCTTTTGCATCCCAGGAATATTTAAAAATAGAAGACTTTAAGGCCTTTATCTATTGATTAAATACAAATGTGTCTTATTTGGCCTTTCTGTGAACTGGCAGGTAACCTTTCTGCGTTCTGACAGATGCAGACATCCTTTCAGCAGAGATGCTGTGAACCACGAACATAACAGGAACACAGGCTACTCTCCTTCAATAGGAGAGGAGAGAAATGTTTGATCCCAGCATGCTCGGGGGCAAACGCCAGATAAACATTCTCCTTTACCCCACTTTTACTAATGATCACCTTAAACACAGACATGCGATTTTGAGCAGCATTTACATCGATTTCTGCAGAAGAAATCTGTAGCCGGGCATGTGGAGCGTGGGCGAGCGGAGATGATGAGATCCTGACACGGCGTAGTGACTCAGACGTGACTAACCGCTGACTGTACTACCTGGGCAGCGGCCATTTTAATCTTAGGAACGTGGCTTGGTTTGTGCAGGCTACGATGGAAGAAGGACTTTCTTGGTCTTGTCTGCATTTTCTTACAGAGGATAAAATTAGCTGCATGAATATTTTATTCCTGAATGAAATTAGCCCCCGGAAGGACACTTTATCATGCAAATATCAAGTCTTTTGGTGCTTCATACCGGGAGTCTGAAAATTGATGCGTCTCATCTCCACGGGATCCGTCGGGTGATGCGCCATCATCTCCACATTGCTCAAAAGGCTCTTGGTTCCTGGTTCGGAGTCCTTGCGCTTGCTGCAATTATTACATCGTTAGCATCACCTCATCACTTGACACGGTGTAGAAACCGGTGCCGTGTAATCACCGTAAGTTAAAAGGGACAAAGAGTTTGACACTGGTTTAATCTTACCTGTCAGGCTTGCTGCTTCCCAGGAAACAGGAGCAGGAATAATTAGAAAAGGAAAAGGAAGGAAACAGATTGTTAGAGAGGAGGATCAATATTTTACATTGGTATTCGAAAGCTCGATGACTTTGCAGCACATTTCGCAGAACTACCGGGAAAATATTTGAGCATTTGGGCGAAAAAAGCCAAACAATACACATCTTTGTGTACGGGCTCAAGGTGAAGGCTGAAAAACCACCCGGGCTTTGTCTCAGAACCAGCTGACATTGTAAAAAACAAACAAACAAAAAAAAAAAGCCCAAGAATCAAGCCGATCTGATCCTCTAAGAGAATGAAAGCTGCTTTGGCATTTGGTCGGTGAGACCAACCGTCTGAGTCATGGCTGTGGTTGTAAACTTGACATTTGATTTTTATTTATTTTCTCATGAAGTTCAGCCCGCTCACTTTTTGTACAGGAGGATAGCAATAACGATGCAGATGATGAAGACCACGGCCAGAACGGGTCCGACCACCCAGATCAGGCCGTCGCCCGCGTCGAAAGGCTGCGGGTCTGAATCCGGGGCGATCACGGGCTCGGTGTACGGGCTGGCCACGTACATCCTCTGGAGACACAAAAATGACACAAACATACATTCTGTTGAGCTCTCATTCTTTCTTTTCCAGGAATTCTTTTATTTTGACACAAAATTAACAAAACTGTGGCCAAGAGAGGCTGTAAAACCTCTCCTTTCCTCAGCACTCATCACCTGTATTGTTAGAAAACCGTTGCAGTGGATTGCGCGAGACTAAAAATGACACAGGCTGGTTTTCCGTGAACAACAGACATAAAATATGAAGTTTAAAAACTCTTGTAGAGAAGCTGAACTGCTGCATTTTTATTAGATCTGAAGGACTTCTGAAGAGCATCTCTTGGGCTTTCCTCCAATACTAAAATCTATTATTTTTTACATTATCCATGTACGCCTATTCAAATGCACTTACATGCCAGCGGTGCACACAGGAAATAAGTCCTCCACTGCTCCAGTCTGTAAACTCACTCATTATAAGCAGTGCTGATGGGAGTATGTGGGCTTATTGCATTTGCCTACAACACTTTGACTGACGGGAATTATATTGTTTTAGCAGTGCAGCTAAATTGATCACAATATCAAGTGACAGCCAGCAGTAGAGGAGGAATGGAGGAGCGCTTGTAAACATGGGGGTGGGGATAAGAGCGTTCGTACCCCTGTCGTGGAGTTCAGCTCAGCCAGGATGAAGAAGATGTATTCCTGCTTCGGCTCCAGAGCTCGGTTCTCGAAGCCTCCGTAGTCCAGCTGGTCCCCCAGGGTGAAGAAGGCCGGGAGGGTGGCAGGTGTGAAACGCGCCGTGATGTAAGCCCGCTTCAGGTCCACCTGCTTCTGCTGGCGAGCATCCCTCTGCCTTTGACTGATGTCTCTCAGCAGCTGAAGAGAGGATGCAGACAGGAACAATGACCTTTGTGACTTATTAGTGGGATGGTGTGTTTTAGGGTCTTCTCTACGGCTCTCACCTCTTCTAGGTCCATTTCATCTGGACTTTTAGGGGGCCTGATGACGCCACGGATTCTCCTCAGCGGAACCACGACGACATAAACATTCCTGTGGAAGCAAAAGGAGGAAAAGTGACATAAGGTCTGCTTCACTTGCATAACGACAAAGTTCTGGTTTCCGTGCCAACTTGTGGGAAGTCGCAACCACATCTTGCCAGTTACGTAACCTTATCATCCCACCTCCCTCGTAACAAAGTGGAATCTAAAGCACGCCGAGTCAGAAGACGGCGACGCAGCTCTCAGATGGGCAGAACGAACGCTAGAAAACGTACCTGACAGTGCGGGTTTCCAGAGGTGGAACGATGATGGTGACCGTGGTTTCGGTTTCACGGGTGTGGTCGATCTCAGGGCGGCGGATGGTGATCGTCGGAGAAGTCTTGGCGGTAATGCGATGGCGGAGTCCTCCCATGTTGTCCTCAGGAGCCGTGATTTTAAAGTCATAGCTTGTGTCCGGCTGGAGGTTTGGGATTACGGCCTTCTTCAGGCGAGCGTCCAACTCCATCATCTTTTGATTATACTCCACCTAGAGAGGAAAAATGAGCAGCAGGGGTCAGATTTAACAAATTAAAATAGTTTTTGTTTGAATACTGAATTTATTTAATGTTTGCTTTTCTTCTAATTTAAAAATCACATAAATTTGGATTAAGATTTTAATGCAAATCAACAGAACTACAATATGGTTTCTTTCTTGTGTATTGAGGGCTTCAAATGTAAAGCTACTGTTCACAACAGCTATCCTATTGATCAACATACACATGTGTGCAGTCTGTGAACGTTACCATGGCAACTATTTCAATGCCACATAGTTGGAGGTGCAAACACACCAGTCACAATCAGCAAACATGAATTACAGCGATGGCAGCAGACAACATATCTGGTCTTCCTGACAGGGGCGCTCCCAGAAAATTTTGATAAGGGTGACCAGATGGGGCCAAAGAAAAATTAGGGGTGGCACAGTAAATTGGTCCTTGTGATAACTCAGGTAGATTTTAGCCTGTGGCGATGTGTTTCTCCTTTATTTTTTTATTAAAAAAATATGTATCCAAAACCCTTAACTCAAATTTAAGAAGGACACACCTTTTATAAAAAGAAATTTCAGTCATGTTATTTCAAAATTAATTTTAGAATTGTATCTTTTAGTTTAATTCACCTGTTGCTGTCTTCACAAAAAACTACGGAGATATTGACTTTTTTTATGGGGAGCAGCAGAGACATGTAATTTATTTAAAATTCAGATTATTTCTTTACTCATTAATTTTGTAATTTTTTATTGAGTTCCACATTTATGTCTTTATGCCTTCACTTTGGAGTCGCTCTACCACATTTTTCTTGCTGAATACGCCTGTAAAACTCCGTTAGCTTCGGGTTAGCATGTAGCTAATGTCCCGCTAATCTCAGACCGTGGGGCATGAGCTGGTGGAAAAGGCCACGGTGCCCCGCTATGATTGCAGCGATCTGAGGCCCTGCCCATAATTTAACAATCCCGGTCCATATTAGATCTCCACAGGCAACCAGAATGACTACAGCCTCGTACGGGAGACAGTCTTTCGTGTGGGTGGGCTACCCTGGTCCCCGGAGGCATGCTTAACTTCTTGGGTTAGCTAAGTTAACTAGTAGCTACACTGATTCATTTGTTCCAACCCTGTTCCAAACGTAACAGCCACCTTCAGCTCCACCTCTTCTCCCAATTTTGGATTGTGTGGGAGTGTTGAGATATGTGACACGGTCAAAATGGCGGTGGTGGGAACCTCCCATCTTTGGCTTCAACCTGCCCCCTGCGGAACAATGGGCGGGCTACGTCCATATTTTATATGTCAATGGTCAAAACTAAAACTTGCTGGACCGGATCTCCAGGACCAGGATTGGGCACCCCTGTTATAGACTTTCTTGATAAACTGAAGAAATACTAAATAAATCATTAAAAAACATTTTATTGTCCTTATCGGCAAAACAATCTGTTGATATTTCTTCAATATACCCAGGAAGTCTATTTGAAAATGGTAAGTGTTCCTAAATCCACACACAAAAACTTTCAATTGAATAATGCAATCCTTAAATTTAAATTGAGATGAACTAATTGATACGTTCTGTTATAAAAATGTTTTGTGTCCAAGTTGCAACAATAATTTGCCACATTTATCAAATATTCCTCCTAATAAAATCATTTGCATCTCCAACAGAGACTATCGTGATGCATTGTGGGTAACGTGACACCATTTTATTTGTATGATCATTTCAAAGTGAAAGCAGGAAGAATCTGGCTGCATTCAGCACTGATAAAAGTGCTTGTTAGAGCGCATTTGTGACACGTTTCTTTGTTAAATCCCCACAGAAGGCACATTTAACAAAAGACACTAAGGGATCTAAGGCCAAAACATTTCATAGCCAGGTCCAGTTGCCAAGCAACCAGTGGAAACTCAAAGAAGTTACCAGACTCAATCAAGAAATCGATAACAAACCAGTGAATTACATAATCGTGAATGCACAAACATTTTTTCTTTTGGATTTTAAAGTAACATTTTTACCATCTTATTGAAGAAATACAATTCCATAAATTGTAATAAAGCAACAAGAAAAAAAAACTAATAAAAAAAAAGGTAATGAAGATTTTCTATTTCGGTAAAAATGCCCAACACACTCAACAGGTGAGACATACAATAAAGTGATAGGGGTTGGTGGTCTCTGGAAAGATCCAGGTGAGGAGGACGCTGGTCTTAGTGGACAGCTTGACTGAGAAATTTCTCGGGACATCTAGAAAACAAGTAAACAAAAAAGCAAAGATACAAAAAGCAGGTTAGTCATGATTTACTTCAATAACAACAAAATATGAAACAAAAACGTTTTTTTTTTCTCAGTGAGAACCTGTGAAAACGTAAAAGAGTCTGGCGTGTTACTCGGGGAGGAAAACATGATGGTTAGGATGATGGGCAGGTGATGAGGAGTGTGGATGACAAGAGAAATACAGGTAATGGACAGATCGGCTGCAGGAATGTGACATGCCACATTGTCAGAGTGTAAGTCTGTGTTTGTTCTGCTCAGAATTCAGCATGTCAGCAAAAAGGCTCTGGAAAAGGTGGCAGTGAAGGTCTACCAGATAAAACCCACTTACCTGCACACACAGCAGCATCAGGCGCCACATTTCCCTTCAAACGAGACCAAACACTTACCTCCTCTGGTGGATTCTGTACACCCAGGGCCCTGTATTGACTTTTACCTGCAGGTTTGTGTCAAGCAGTGCTCTTGCAGCAAACATCCATTCACAATGGGCCTGCTCCCACTGGTGGTGAAGGGTTTAGGTGATGAAGGTACAAGTGAGTGAGTGGAGGAGTTTTGGGGGAAGTAGTTGTGTTCCTCTGGACTTTGCAGGTCTTGTCTCTCTCAGGTGGACTGGTGAGACGCCACACCTGAAAGAACTGGCCCAGACTTCATTTATTTAGTGTTTTATAGGAACGTTTTAAGGTAGCCTCCATAAGAAACGGGGGGAGATGTGAAGCTGAACCAGTGCTTAGAAGCTGATAGGTGTTCCCCAGGCCTACCTGTTTCAAAGGCCAGGGTGAGACACAGCAGAGCGGGGCTGAACGGGCCCGGCCCAGCCTTGTTGTGGGCTCTGAGCTGCACCTCGTAGGCTGTGCTGTGATTGAGGCCCACGATGGTGTAGCTGGACTCACTCGCTGGCAGTGTGATCAGCCACGGAGGAGCAGAAGGGGCGGGTGAGACGGAGGGAACTGGGTCAGCAGAAAGTCTGGGGGCTGCAGCCTGTTTGTAAGCCACGGTGTACTCTGTAATGACACTGTTACACTCATCTGGGGCCAGAGGTAGCCAGAAGAACTGGAGGGAACAGCAAGTCGCGTTAACAAAATCAGTTAATTTAGGGTATCCAGAGGGCGGAGATATGGGAATATCAATTTCCTGCTGTGCTGCGTCTCCGTAGCCCACGCGGTTTATTGCGGCGAGGACGAAGAGGTAGGAGGAGCCCGGGGTTAGGTTTCCCACGGTGAAGTTTCTCTCACGGGGGGAAAAATCCTCCGTGGTGTTTAGAGATGAGTTCTTCAAGCCATACTGTAGATGGTAGCCTTTGATTTCCAACGGGGTCCCTCTGTTGTCGGGGGCCGTCTCGGGGCAATCCAAAGGAGGAGACCACCTCACCACCACTGATGTGGCAGATTGTGGACGCACCCAGAGGGAGGGGGGCCCCGGCACTGCAAACGACAGCGTGGGGAGCAGAAAATGAATGCCATCATCAAACCGTATATCATGTAAATCTGGTGGAGGAACTAGAATTGATCTGGCTGTTTATTTACGGCTGCCTACCGGTACGGCTTGTTATGCGATCAATTCTTGAGTGTGTTACTAAATCTGCAGCGCTATACGCTTGACATATGCTTACCAATCCCCGTGGTCCGCACCAGCTTGGCTTTGCTGTGCGCTCCATCCCCTTTAGTGGTGTACGCCGCCACCGAGACGGAGTACAATGTCTCTGCTTTCAAACCTCCTAGAATCAGCTCCTGTCAGACCGACAGAAAACTGTAAACCTCCATATTTAAAGCAAACAGATCGATTCAAGCCAGCTTCGTTAAAACGTAGGAAAATAAACGATCGAGTTACATAACGGGGTCTGCTCAAATCCATGGTGGTCAAACGAAATGAGAATTGGGTTTTAATGTCCTGGGTGGGTAATGCAGAGTGTATTACATGTCAGTTTATTTATGAGAGGAGGAGAGGCAGTCTGCACTCACATACTGAGTAGAATCATCCTCCTCCATCTTGCCGTGTGGATGAAACACACCCCGTAGGCAGCCGAGACAGATGCGCGAAGGAGTGAGTCAAAAGATTAGACGAGGAGAAAATGTTTGCAGATGGAGCAGAGGAACATCATTTTTAATAGTTTATTATAAAAAAAAAATGCTGAGGCTTGATGTCACCTGGGAGTCGTCCAATAGGAGGTCTTTGATGCGGGGCAGGGTGCGTGATTCACCACTCTCCGCGCGGCTGAAGTGCACCTGGTAGCCACGGATCTGGCCTTGCCGTAACCGTGGTAACACGGAGCGCCACGTGACTCGTAGCGCTGAGGAATTGAGCGGCTGGACGTCCACCTGGCGGGGGGCCGCGCCGGGAACTAAATGCATGCACACACCAAAGCAACAGTTAATCACAGAGGGAATAAACATGTAAATAATCAACTAACCAATCAAGAGTGTTTAAGTCTGATCTATAGGTGGAGCTCTCACCATCCTCATCTGTTCTACACATCACAGCCGGGCTGGAGGGTCCGGTTCCCTCTGCGGTGAAGGCTGCCACTGTTAGATTGTACCAGCTCCACTTCTCCAGCCCCTCCAGCACGGTTTGTCGCTGGGGGGCCGACACGCGAGGCGCCACCACCTCTTGGCCCTGGCCTCTTCCTCCTGCCCCAGAAACTCGCAGGTACTTGACCTCATAACCTCCCAGCTCGCCGTTCTGGCCCTCCAGCTCAGGCGGCCTCCAACTCACCCTCAGCAAGGTGGAGCTGATACTCTCGCAGGACACACCCTCGGGTGGAGCTGAGGGCTCTTGAACGGATAAGGAGCAAGGAGGGCGATTGGCAGTGAGTTGAGGGGAAAACCCAAATAAAACAGGAGTAAAACAAATCATAAGAAGGGAAAACCATAAGCAAGAAAGAAGGGAAACGAGGACAAAAAGGAAACAATAAGAAACTAAAGTGAAATGAACTGAAAGAACAACACTGGGACATACACAGCTAACACGTAAAAATAAAACACCCATAATGTTAAAGCATAATGTTCAACTGAAAGCCTAATGAAATCAAACCAGAGACCAGAGTATTGACCCTGAGTGGACAACTTAATTACACACAAGGAGATGGTGCTTCTGATAGCCGATGACTGCCGTTTATCATCGGTCTGTAGCTGCTGGGAGAAAAGGATCCAGATTCCTGAACAATTCTCTAAAAGATGGATCCAATCACACAAAAACACAGAAAAATAAGACAGAGCCTTCGGAATCCCCGAGCCCTCGGGATCCTATGATGTGAGACTTTCTTCTGCTGACTGAGATCAAAACTAAAACAGAACGGATCCAGGAGAAAGGTTAAAGGCACTGAGATGGATAAAGAAAGTCAGGTCAAGGTATATAAGCACCGCTCATTTCCAAAACAACAGGTGTCACTCACCTTATGCAGAGTTGGCTCAGTAAGGCTGAGCGTGGTGGAGGGGTTACAGTGGGTCTGTGTATATGTGAGAGGCACAGTTACAGCTGACAGGTTCAAGTATCTATCCACTCAGCCGTACAGCCACTGTTCTGTCGGCCTCGGGGGACAATCTAGATGTGCACCAAAGCTTGGCGATAACAAAGCACACCTAACCTCTCTGGGAAATGAGTTCTGCTGCATGAAATAGTCTGCTTATCAAGCATCTTTTTCACTGTTTCCACCCCTTGCTTTAACAACCTTGGTGCACCACCCAAATCTCCTTATATATATATATATATATATATATATATATATATATATATATATATATATATATTATTTATTTATTTATTATTGGGTTAAAGGAAAGTTGAAAAAACTGCTTTCTGTTCAGGTATTACCAAAAACTTACCAGTTTTTGTGGTGCCTGCAGAGCTTTTTCCTTCCAAAACTACTTTATGAAATTCTCTTCCTTTTACCATTTTCTCTGTTAGCTCCTTTCATCCTCTTGTGGGCAGATTTGACTTTAAACGCCAAAGCAAAACAGTAGCACAGATTCTAGTCTTTATCTGTGTTTGTGTAAAAAAACTAAAAAGTATAAATACAGACTGGGCGGTACTTACCTGTCAACACAACAGGGCTGCCACGATCTCTAACGCTCCACAACGCTGGCTGTGAGCCAGCGAGTGGCAGTTTAGGCTTTCAGAGACATTAAACACTAACAGAGTGGAAAGAAGCGAAAGGAAAGGAAGAGTGAAACTTTATTTACTGCTCCGTCTCCATCTGTAACGTTCTTGCTGTGTTAGAGAAAAAGACAGAGACAGCGGCAGCCTGGCAAAGAGAAGGCACAAAGGCGGATGGATGGGAGGAGGAGATGGATGGATCGGATGAAAAATGAGACACATGAAAGAATTCCAGGTTTACCATGTCAGGAGCTGAGGATAATGTGACGTGTGTGAGTGGAAAGGTCAAAATATTTACATGAAATTTGCTGCACAACAGTGAAATCTGACCCAATTAAAATGTGCAGCACGTTTGTGTGTGTGTGTGTGTGTGTGTGTGTGTGTGTGTGTGTGTGTGTGTGTGCGTGTGTGATTTAAAGTCAGCTGAGCTGAGACGTACTGGCTTGTAACGTCCTCTGCACCAGCTCATTAGTGAACGTTCCGATGCCTTTGCTCGACTTGGCTGCCAGGGAGAAGGAGTACTCTGTGTTTGCTTTCAGACCCTCCACCACGATCGAGGTCCTCGGCTCAAAGGTCCGCTTCTCCTGCAAGGCAGGAAAAAAGAAACGAGCGAAGGACAGAGAGGTGATGAGAGGCAATAAAGCAGGGAGGAGCTAAACTCGCTTAAATGTGCAATATGCAAGAATGAAGTAAGAATGACATCCTGTGGTAATATTTAGGTACTGCAGCCCATTTTCCAAACAAAAAGTGTCTGTCTCACTTCCGTTCCATGAGTTTCATGGCTGTTGCCAGTTACAGATTAGTACCAGAAGATAGATTACAAGCTATGATGAGTCATTCACAGTAAGATGAAAAGTAGATTAGGGGTTGCATGACGTAATTTATTTTAAAGTTGACAGTCAAGTAACGAAAATCGAGTCGACTTTGTCTAATCGTTGATGACGTCATACACCTGAAGTGGCGCGGGGGTGGGGTCGGTTGGTTCGCTAGAGTTTTTGACAATTAAAATTGCGCCCACATTTTCAAAGTTAAACACATTTCTTTTAACAACGGTAGTTTCTGCTTCAGCCCTCTCCCCCCCTCCCCCGCGCAGCGGCCGCAAACTCACTGATGCGCCTGCAGCCTCTCAGAGTTCCTGCTGCTCTAAACATTAAAATAATTATTTCATTTTCTGTTCCTCACTTCTGATTACCTTCAATGGTGTCTGTTTGTTGCAACCACCAGGTACAAAACAAACTTTTTATTTGACTATTTTTCTGTCCTGTCTCTGTTTATTATCTTCCTGCATCTCCTCTCAATCCTAAAGAGAAACTGCTACCTGGGTTCATATATATTCACCTCATGAGTTACCTTTGAACTGCAGTTGTAAAAGATCTACCGACTTCAAAAACAGCGGAGTGCGCGCTGCTCGCCGGCCGCGTTAAGGTTGGTTTATGCTTGACGCGTCCGCGAGGTCCGCACGGCTCCGCGCGGAAAAGTTGCATCATTTTGTGTCATTTTAACAACCACGCCCCTCCACCGCGTCTCCGCACGGCCCAGAATTTCCGTAACGCGCACCTCGGAAAATTTCTAACCACGCGGACGGACGGACGCGGAAAAACATGGCGGACCGGCAAGAACTAGTATGGCAGAGGTTCTCGTACATACAGACATTTGTATGATTCAGCTCTCAGAGATCACCGTGATCAACATGTTGTAAATAATTCTTGGACAGAAATAGCTTGCACTGTCGGAAAAGACGAGGATGCTGTTAAAATTGCTGGAATGCCATGTTGTAAACAGTAATTTCTACTTCTACTATGGTGTAGTGTTGGGTGCATGCCGTAGAGCTCCATGCTGCCCCCTACAGTTTGGGAGAATATTGGCTCACCGCAGAGACGAGCCGTACGATCCATAAACGCTGCGAGTTGTGAAGCGTGTTCCATCCGTGAGCCGCATCACCGCGCGGAAAGTGAATGCGTCAAGCATAAACCAAGCTTTAGTGAGTTACGTCACCGGAGGACAAAACAGGTGATGGGCCCTCTCCACAGCAGCGAAACGCATCAGGCGCAAATAAAAGACAGAAAACATAAAAGGAAATGAGCCGACATGAACGATCGTGTGTTAAATTTGTTTTTGAGGTGGTGATGACACCTAATTTGATAATGTTACTGTGGCCGTGCTCAGGACGCAGATGTCTGGAGCACGTCAACGATCAGATGATCAGACGATCAGCTCCCCTCTCCGATGATGCAGTCCCATGCACGATCCAATGTGTAGACCCCATCATCTCTGTTCATAGTCCCACATCCACGTCTCCTTATCTCTATAGCTTCTTTTATCCATCTTTTCTATTTCTGTTGTTCGATGTTTATGATCCCAGTCCATTATATGGTTTTCTCTTGTGCAGTGATCTGTTATGGCTGACTTCTTTATTGTACTTTCTGCTTCTTGTTTTGCTGCTCTTGTGTGTTTTCGACTTGTTTCTTTCTCACACACCTTTCTATGTTCTATTGTTCGTGTGTTGAGTTGGCGTCCGGTTTCTCCTATGTATGTTTTATTGCAGAGGTTGCATGGGATTTCGTAAACAACTTCACATTTAAGTCCAGCTGGTATCTTTTCTTTTGGGTGTACTAGTCTGTTTCTAACTGTTGTGTATGGTTTTGTTGGTGTGTTTTTTCACTGTTGCTCTTATTTTTTCTGTTATGCCTTTGATGTATGGTAGGGTTATCACTGGTTTTGGTTCTTGTCTTTCTGGGTTTCTGGTTCTTTGCTTAGGTGGTTCTGTTCTTTCTGTTGTTGTTTGTTGTTTTCCTTTGTTTATTGGCCATGTCGGGTATCCGCAGGTCTTTAAAGTGTGTTGTATGTGTTTGTCCTCTTGTTTACAGTGTCTTTCTTCTGTTACCATGTTTGCTCGGTGATATAATGTTCTGATTACTGACATTTTGTGTATGGTAGGGTGTTCGGATGTCCATAATAAGTATTGGTCTGTGTGTGTTGGTTTCCTATATGTGTTTATGTTTAGTGTCCTGTCGGTCTGGCTGGTTATTTTCATGTCCATAAATGCTATGCTGCCGGACAACACAAGGAGCATAAACACCGAACAACAGAAATACAAAAGATGGATAAAAGAAGCTATGGAGATAAGGAGACGTGGATGTGGGACTATGACCAGAGATGATGGGGTCTACACATTGGATTGTGCATTGGTACTGCATCATCGGAGAGGGGAGCGCGGGCAGCAGAGGGCGACAACATCCTCTGCTGCTCGCGGATAAATGGAGTAGGAAGTGACGCCACCATCAGCATCAGCTCTGAGGATGTTTTGCAGTCGGCAAACGAAACTGTCAGCAAGGTAAAGAAAAACCTTTCCTGTGTTCCTGTGTCCAAAAATGGACTTACTACACTTACTATGGCAATATTTTTTCATATTGGGGGAAGTATTGTTGTTTGCCATATTTCTGTTAGCTAAGGGTTATATGTACCGGGGGTGGGGGTGGGGGGTGCTGTTTTGTGATATTTTCACTGTAAAATTCTCACACAGGTTCCATTATTGTACCTTTATTTTTTTATTTACATTTTTTGGTCCAATAATTTTTGTTGTGAAGAAGTCCACTCAGGACAGGAGGGATGGAGGGCTTACCAAGCTGCCAAATCTGACTGGTTTGTAGAGCAGCTCATAGTTGATTATTTTCTCCTTGGTGTATGCTGGTTCCCAGGTCAGCTCGATGGTGGTGTCGGTCACCTTCCCAACTTTGAACTTGACTGGTTGTCCTGGAACTGATGAAGACAAGACAAAACAGTCAGTCAGTGCTACATTCATTTTACAGGGTCTGCAACTCCTTCCTGTCAATGTAACAAAAAATAAATCTAGTCCCAAGTGTGTCTTACTGCTTTGGGATATCTCTAAAAATCACCTCCATTGTGCAGAAAATGCACATCCACACATCAACACCCTTCAGGTATATTTTGGACTCAAAACTTTCTTTGAAATTACAGGTGGAAGGTCTATTTAACTTGTCAAATCTCCTACAGAAATTGCTGTAGAAAAACAATTTTCCCATCAGAACTTTCTGCTGAGATTAGTTCAAGATGATGATTAATCCAAGTATGTTTTTGGGATAGCAGCTGTTTGTCTGAGGCTAATGTTTTAGTTTGAGTTCCTGTGTCTCATTACGTCTGCTGTCAGCTCCTGAGACACAGGTGTGTGGTTACCAGTGCTGTAGTCAAGTCACCATGTCTTGAGTCCAGGTCACACTTGAATCAAGATCACATAGAATTAGTCCAAATCTCAAAAGAATCTTCCAGTTGAAGTCTAATATCCAATTTTAACTGACACTTTTTATGTTTGCACCTATGACTGTGGTTTGCACCCATAAAGTAAGTAAAACTGGTGGAATTAGCATGTAACCAATGCTAATGTTAGCTTGTCATACTGCTGGACAAATTTGATAACCACAATTTCCCAAACAATTTGTAAGTGTGCAGCTGACATGTGACTATTGTTTTCACACTTATTTTAAGTATGGCTTATTATTTAGCCGAATGCTACTGTGTTAGCTTGGCGATAGCATGGATGCATTGAGTGGTCCCAGTTTTGTCTTCTATTGTCCTCTTTCATTTTGTACATCTGTCACAGCTTTATCCTGACGAAACATCTGTAAAAGCAAACAGCACAATGTGGACTCTGAAAACGTTGACTATATCACGTGGCAGCGCGCCACATTTGCACATGTTTGAGTTTAAATGTAAGTCCTAACTTTTACAAGTTCGAGTCCAAGTGCAAGACATCGGTGTGCATAAAGGTCAATTTCACTGAAAAACCATTTCTATAATCTTATTTCTGGTTACAATTGGTCACTATGAATTATTCATGCAGGCTGAACATGAAAACAGTCTCCTACGCCTATCTCCTGCATTAGTTTTGGATACAAAATAAACGGTGAAACGTTATGATTTGAAAATCCGGACAGATCTATGTCACACTGTCACGTAACGCTTATGGACTCACCCATCTTGACTCACGACGTGGAAGGCTGTTGTTGGTTTGGCGTCCAGGAAACAGCAGAGAACGTCTCAGCTAGTAGAAGCTAACCGGTGGTAACTCCACCACATAGCAGAACTCCTCCAGGCTTGTTTTATTTGTGGAAATAAAACGTCAATGTTGCAAAGCAAACTGGAGTGGCAGAGTCGTGTTGCTGTTATCCAATCAGAGGTGAGATCAGGAAATATAACTCAAAATCCTGTCATCTGATGCTACTTTTTCCTCCAGCTGACTCCTTCGGCCTCAAACAAGTGCATCAGTGTTTTTTTCTCCCCCGAGTACAACTTACAAGGCATTCCATTCCTACTAGAGGCCACTGCAAATGTATTAAAAATATGAGTAAAGTTGACCTTTAGTCCCTTAAACCTGACTCGAGTCAGTATTCGAGTCTGAGTCCAGTACTAAATCCCTGGCGGTTACCATGGAGATCTTAAATATCCACAGACAGAATCTACAATACTTTCATTGATCATGTTTTTTTATTTTTCCTCTCTTTATTTAGCCTATATCATTACAGATCTGATGTTGGAATTCCAAGCACGAGCTGCATCGGCACCATTCTGAGTTTCTACGGAACTTTTCTCAACTTCATCGACAGAAAGTTGGAATATATTTCAATTCTTTCTGTGCTTTAAAAAAACATTTGACTCATGAAAAGCCTGATGAATTATCAGCACTTCAAGCTACTCAAAAATGCAAACGGGTAGTGCCTTTGCAGATTTGAAGTTGTCATCTGTTTGTACCTTTAATCCTATAAAATCAGCTGCTTCCCAGCAGCTGTCACAGCGCCGTGATCAGCACCGATGTAGAAGGGACACTTTTAGCTGTTAATCCCTGTTTGCTTTTTGTAAATCTCCACAGTTCTTTGCAAGCTGTTAAAATTTGCTTCTGATGAAGGAGCTGCAGTTTCTGACAGCTCTGGCTTTTCCAGTGCTGTCACAGACGCACAAAAATTCACAAATGCAACTTGAAAATCACACTGAGTGGATCGCTTAGTTGCACAAATAAGGAATTGCTTGTGCTGTTGTACATTATAAAATAACTCATTATTTACTTTTGTATAAAATGCTTGCATCCACAAAATCCAGGAGAGGATTATGCAGACACTCACCACCTATGACAACTTTGACAGGAACGGGGTCTGAGAAGGGCCCGTCTCCTACGGAGGTGAAGGCCAGGACCTGGATGGTGTACGTCTCTGAGGTCACGAGGTTCTGAATAGTGGTGAGGAGGCTGTCCTGGACGTTATGGATGTGCCACTCGTTGATCGATCGTGATGGATCCATGGTGTAGTACACCCGATAGCCCTTCACCTGCACAAAATCCAAATGTAAAGTAGATTTTTCATTGCTAGGCGCTGATTTATTTTCCTCTTTTTTCATTTGTCATCTGGGACTGGATTTTCTTATTTAGTCTTCCACTTAATCCCACAGTCACGCACCCATGGTAATCCTTAATACCATGTTTTAACACAACTGGAGTTTATGACAACAGAGGTCAGCGCTGAGTTTATTTCAGCCTGTTTGGTCCGGAGGATTAGTTGCTTTCCTGTGCTTTTGAGGTAATTTTCATTGATCTGACACTAAACTGTATTTAAAATGTGACAAAACCCATTTCAGAACAAAACAGAACCACCATTCTGCTATAAGAGTTTGGAAACACTGTTGGGTCAGAGTTTATGTAATCCTTAAACCTCCAGCTCCACCTTCCCTGCTATTACTCTTTAATATCTCCAATCCCCGTATGCACTCAATTCACTCGTGCTCTTTTATGAACCCACTGCTCAGTTAGGCTTAAAAAAGAAAACGGGCCTCGAGAGGGAGTGCTCTCAACTTGGAGTGGACAGTCCAATTACCCTTCCTTTCTTTAGAGAGCAGAAAAAAGTGGTGCAAGACTAACGGGACAGAGATCTCTCCTAAGATACCATCCTTACACAGAACACGAATCTGCAGCATCACCAACTATCTGGGGGACTATCTCTCTTCAGTTTCTTTTTCTTATTGACAGCAGAATGTTAGCGCTGACAGGATGATGCCAGGAAAATGTAAGATTAGCCGTTAACCCACCTGCCCGTTGGGCTCTTCTGGTTCCTCCCAGCGGACCAACACAGTGTTCTCAGAGATAACATGAGCCTGGACGTTTCGTGGAGGACTGGCGGGGGCTTGCTCTCCTGTGCGAGCCTCCACACGAGTGGATGGGGGGCCCTGGCCGATGCTGTTGAAAGCCGACACCCGTATTTCGTACTCGGTGTTGGGGTAGAGTCCACCAATGCTGTAGCGAGTGGTGGTGATGCTGTCCACTGTCTCGTACTTGCTGTCTGGCCCCTTGGCTCGGTACTGGATGATGTAGTAGGAGACAGGGTCGGGATTGCCGGAGTCCCAGGTGATGGTGATGCTGGTGGCTGTGGTTTCCGTGACGATGGGTGTCCCGGGGGGCTTTGGTAGTGCTACGAATAAACAGGATCAGATCACTTTAAAATATTCTACTAGTAGTTAAAGTTCCATGTTCTGGTCACATGTCTTTTATTGCCTTATATTTTTGAATATTCTTAATGTTTTTTTTTTTTTTCAAATTGTTAAAAATACCAAAGTCTAGGTTTTAGTAGGTTTAGTTGGCCACATTTTTAATAAATATTAACCTTAGGGTTAGGGGTTCGGATTCTTTGTTTAAGTTTTAAGTTTAAGCAGCAAATCAAAGATTTAAAGTGTGCACATGTGATCAAATAAAGACAGTCGCACAGTAGAGACACTGGTTCTGGTTCCAATGACGCCTTCTAAACCAACATAACAGGTGAGCTGGGCTCCATGAGGCCTGCAGATCTGACCGATGACACCTTCCTTAAGGGTAAGAAGCTCATGTTCACAATATTATAAATACCTAGATGTAAAATGCTTTAGTCAAAGGGAATTTATCATAAACAGAAATATGTCTTTTAAATACTTGCCAATTTTGAGAATATTTTTAAATGTCTGTGGCTCAACTGTGTCCAAAGATATAGGAACTTCTTACTCTTGACTAAGACCTGAGCGATGGCCTCAATGATGCCCAGGCTGCTCATGGCCACACAGGTGTAGTTTGCAGATTCCCGGACGCCGTTGAGCTCCAGCACGTTTCGACCGATGGGCATTTCGTCCTCGGGGGTGAGGTCCTCGTTACCCAGCATCCACTTGACATAGGGCATGGGCGAGCCCACGGCCACGCAGGTGATGTTGACGCTCCCTCCCGGCATGATCTCGTGATTGGAGGGTGAGATAGAAAAACGAGGGGGCACACGGCGCACTGGGAAAGGAAGAGAGTTGGGGTAAAAAGGAAAGGGGGTGGGGTCGGGGGTGAAGGCGTAAGGCAGAGGAGGAGAAAAGTGGGGAGAAGGGAGTGAAGAGAAGAAAGGTGAAGAGAAAGGAAGAGTGGGGAATGAGAGAGAGAGAGAGCAAAGCAGAGAGAGAGAGAGAGAGAGAGAGAGAGAGAGAGAGAGAGAGAGAGAGAGAGAGAGAGAGAGAGAGAGAGAGAGAGGAGAGGTAACAGGAAGGGGGAGAATGAACTTCAGGGATTTACAGAAAATTACAAAGGGATATTTCAAGTTTAGTCCCAATTACTTTATGGTACTGATGGTTTCAACAAAAAGACACAAATCTTGTGTTAAGCTCAACCATTCAGAGTGAGCTGCCTACTAAAAATAATAAAGTGACAAACTCTTGAGTATCGTTTCAACCAGGACATGACACCTATAGTCAGTTTCTCTTCAATTTGATCATTCAGGTGAATTAGTGGGCTAAAGGCACTTTCCTACCCCCCGTTTGAGAAAAGGCTAAGCTCTGCCTTCACAGAGGAATTTTACTTCATTGAGATTTCTGTGCCTTGAGGTGGTCGGGCAGTAGAAGAGTGTATGCATCACCGGGGCCGATCAATAGGCCCTGCATGCTATTTGTGTCCCCGTATGAAAGAACAAGCAAAGTAGCAAGTTATATCCAATAATGCGTCTGTGTTAGCGTTCCCTGGACTACATATGAGGTAGAGGGGTGTGTGAGTGTGTGTTGGGGGGCTGCATCGAGAGACTGAACTCATAGGTCACTTGCATGCCTGGGCGACTCAAGAGAGAGAAAAATGGTGGAGAAACACAAAGAAGAGAACGAAGAACTGAAGACAAAGAGGGAGGCAAAGAGGAGCGAGAGAAAGAGAAGAGACACGGAAGAAAGAGGTAGAGGCAAAGAAGTAGCACAACAGAAGGAACGACAGAGAGAGAGAGAGAGCAGGAGGCAGCTCTGCGTCTCTTCCAGACAATGACAGCCAATGTAGCAAAGGACAGCCACATTGTACAACAAGGTACTGTACAATACATAGGATCCATAACTGATACAGTGTGTCGTCAAATGAATTGAAAATGTGAACAGGAAGTGGAAAAAGTCCGAAAAAGGGTGTCGTGGCAATTACGGAGTGATCATCGGACACATTAAAGAAGAACACCAAGACAGCATGAAAGAGGCAAAAACAGGAGAGTGCGAAAAAGAGAGGTATGTGTGGTAGTATGTGCATGTTTATAAGTTAATCAACTTATGTACATGTGTCTGTCGCTCCTACACATCAGGGTGCAGACAGAATGAGGAGGGAGAAGAAGAGAAGGGAGGGGGCAAAGGAAAGGAGGGGAAAGGACAGGGAAGTGGAGATAAAGAGAGGATTAGAGGAGGGTAGTGGGGGGAAGGAGGGGCAAAGGGGGGAAAGAAAGAGGAGCGAGGAAGAAGAAAACACATGGATCTATTTAAAAACACGGCTATATACCAGAGTCAGGCCCATACAGAGAGTAGATGCTTCAAAAGTGTGAGAAGAAAGAAAATAAATAAATAAATAAATAGAGAGATCGGATGTTGAAGGAAGAGGGAAGAAGAGGACACCCGAGAGTCACAACACAGGAACCAGAAAGAGACAGAGAGAATAACGGACAAACGTCTCTGGATGGGAGGAGAGAATGAAAGGGGAAGGCAGACAAAGAGCAGAAACATTGTTGAAAAAACTCCACACCATGAAGCTTTTATGTGTTATAAGAACAGGACCAGCAGATGCCCTAAAGTTAGACAAATCAGAAAAAATCCCTGTAGTGCGGGAGTGGATTAGGGCCACCAACAAGAACAAAGAAAAGAAAGAGAATTCAGACTTCTGACTAATCTCAAAATTCTGGCTTTAATCTTAGAATTTCTGACTTTAATCTCAGAAATCTGACTTTAATTTTAGAATTCTGACTTTAATCTTTGAATTCTGACTTTTCTTCAGAATTCTGACTTTAATCTTTGAATTCTGACTTTTCTTCAGAATTCTGACTTTAATCTTTGAATTCTGACTTTAGTCTTAGAATTCTGACTTTTCTTCAGAATTCTGACTTTAACCATATAAGTCTGGCTTTAGTTTTAGGATTCTGTCTTTAATCCTAGATTCTGACTAATCTCATAATTCTGGTCTTTATTTTAGAATTTTAGTTTTAATCTTGAAAATTTATATTTATCTTAGAAGTCTGACTTTAATCTTAGATTTCTGACTTTAATATTAGAATTCTGCTTTAATCTCAGAATTCTGATCTCAATCTTAAAAGTCTGGCATTAATCTTATATTCTGGATTTAATCTCAGAATTCTGACGTTAATCTCAGATTTCTGACTTTAACCTTAGATTTCTGACTTTAATATCAGAATTCTGGATTTAATAATAGCATTCTGGCCTCTAGTTTAGAAGTCTTGCTTTAATCTTGAAATTCTGGCATTAATCTTAGAGTTCTGGCTTTAATCCTAAAATTCTGGCTAATCTCAGAATTCTGGCCTCTATTTTAGAAGTCTGGCTTTAATCTTAGAATTCTGGCCTTAATCTTTGAATTTTGACTTTAATCTTATAATTTATACTTTAATCTTAGAAATCTGACTTTAATCTTAAATTTAGAATTCTGGCTTTAATCTCAGAATTCTGGCCTCTATTTTAGAAGTCTGGCTTTAATCTCAGAATTATGGCCTTAATCTTTGAATTCTGTCTTTAATCTTAGAATTTTGACTTCAATCTTAGAAGTCTGACTTTAATCTTAGATTTCTGACTTTAATATCAGAATTCTGGATTTAATCATAGCATTCTGGCCTCTAGTTTTAAAGTCTTGCTTTAATCTTGAAATTCCGGCATTAATCTCGGAGTTCTGGCTTTAATCCTAAAATTCTGGCTTTAATCTCAGAATTCTGGCTTTAATTTTTGAATTCTGACTTTAATTTTATAATTTAGACTTTAATCTTAGAATTTTGACTTTAATCATAGAATTCTGAATTTAATCTCAAAATTCTGACTTTTTTCTCAGAATTCTGAGATTAAAGTCAGAACTGGGTGAACACAACTCAGATTTCTCTTTCTTTTCTTTTCATAGACCCTAATCCTCTTCCGTACTCAACAACCAAACTAAAAATCTAAATTTATTCTTATACGACTTGCAAATTCAGAAAGCTAGAGAAAATTAAATTAATCATAGTGAATATAATGAATAAATAAATAAATACGGGTAAACTTGCTGCACAGATTCTTCATGGGCCACATCCCCCCTACTCAAAGAATCTAGAGACAATTGGGTAAAAGTTAACAGTTTTCCATGATTTGAACAATTAAAAATCAAACGTAGCTGTGTTGCCACTGACAGTTCATTATATAAAAAAAATCTTCCAAGCATTTGGAATACTTATAAAAAAATCCCAAAAAATACCCAGAATTGGATGCAGAAGTTGAAGAGAAAAAAGAGACAAAGAGACAAAAACAGATAGATCTGTTAGAAAACAGACATGATTATGCAGACGTCTCCTCATCAGAGCATGCTGCAGACACAGAGGCAGGCACACGGCTCCATGCAGAAAACAAAGCAGGTGCAATGCAGCATCACCGTTTTCTACCCAGAAACGGGCAAAAATATACAAATGAAAAGAAGAATTGTGGGTTCATTTTGCATTAAGAGCAACAAGATGAAGAAAAATCCAACTGAGAGCTTTTTAAATGTATATATTTATATCAACTATATGACTCAAACCCAAGGAATCATGGCACTGACACAGGTGAGTGCTTTGGAATAAATGAAGCTCATAACAAGAGATAATCCCTCACTTGCTCACAGAGCCTCCAGCTTTAAGTTAATCAAGCTGGCTTCTTGATTCCCCTCCATTTTCTTTACAGTTTGAGCTTCAGACCCTCAATCTTTATTAGAAGAGCTATCATTAGTCCTGTCCTCTGCTGGGAGTCTGGAGGCTGCGGGTGGAGGAAGAACTCGGCCCGGTCGCGAGGATTACCACGGTATCTCTGCACGGCTGCATAGCTGACATTTACTCAGCACCACCCTGTCTGTCTGAAGGACACAACTTTCATTAACCACTGTAATAAGACGGAATCATTAATATCTCCCTCAATATCAAAAGAATGGGAATGGAGGTGATTCATTTTAAATGTCAGTCAATAGAGTCGTTTTAGGGGGCTGCCGGAGACGGGAACAGTCAGATAAAACATCAACAATATCACAGCAATGAGGAGGGCAAGAGTTCAGACGCTACAAGGAATTTTATTATAGTCAAATATATTTTACTAAAAAAAGGTTTGTCTTTTGTTCAGTTTATTTTATTTTCTGTAGCCTGAAATAAACAAAAGTTGGTCCTGAAAAGAATTGCAACTCTCTGAAACATATCTGACATTCATTCATTTGTAACAGGTAAGACAATAAAACGGAGAGATTTTCTTCTCTATTAAAATCAGCGTGGGTGAGTGAATAAACAATCACGGAATGACGTTTCCATCATCTAACGTATAAAACATTTTGACCAGATTCGGAGTCTCTGGAGAGATCTTTGTGCGGAGGCTGAAATCGAACATATCAGGCCCTGAGGCAACGCTGCATTAAAAACAGATCAGACTCTGTTGGAGGAAATCGCAGCGTGAACCGTGGAAGACTTTAGAGGAAACAAAAAGAACAAAGATTCCATAAGACTCAGGTCAATCCCTTTCATTTTTTATTTTGATGGGGGGGGGGGGGGGGGGGGTGTTCTTCAGATACACAGAAGAACCGTTTATCTCATTAGAATTCAGAATTCATGGTAGTTTGTGGATTTGCTGCACATAGCAGCACATGAACACACTATTAATACTAAATAAAGTGCCATAAGCAGGTTGCAGCAAAGAAAGGTCCCTTTTATAAAAACCTGACCAAGCAGGCTGTGTTCAAACAGCATCCTTTTCTACATTATAAAACACTTGTACAGGGAGACTCCTGACATGTAAGCAAATAGGGCTTATGACAGTAATAAAACATGCACTTGATATTAAATGTTGAACATCAGTTACAATAAAACTTATTTTCCTAGATCTTTTACTTTTCTTCTGTAGTCATGATGCAAACTCTTCCTTTCACTTGCATCCTTATCTGTTGTAGGATCTGAGGACAGCTGGAGACCAGATGCATTACTGGCATCCAGGTCATACCTGCTATTTTTTGCAATCCTTTGATATAGTGATAAAAAACAGGTTGGTGGATTTGGAATTTGTCATTTTTGCAGATTTATTTTGTTTGTTTGTTTGTTTTACTCATTTTAACTGGAGTTTAGTTTTGATTTATGAATACTGATGCACAGTTTTATTTACATTGTTAGTTTGATAACTAGAACCAGGAACATAACATAAATGTTTATAAATAGGGATGCAGGAACCTATTGTTAGGCTGACATATCACATTATTTCACGTAAGAATGTCCCGATACAACTTTTTTTCAAACTTTCGATACGATACCGATATTGCAGTCTTCAGTGCAGACCGATACCGATATCAATCCAATACAATATCAGCACAAATCATACATACTTTTACCTATTTTTTAATAGGTTAAAAAAAAATTGTAAGTCGCTTTGGGTAAAAGCGTCTGCTAAGCACATAAAGAACATAAAGAACCTATTTCGTAGTGTGGAATGTATGAAAGGCTTGATCAAGTGATTTTATTCAATCTGAGAACAAGAGCCAATATGAAAAAAATGGCAATTTTTGTCTTTTTACCATTGGTTGCAAAAATGGGACTGCACAGTGGCACAGTGGTTAGAGCTGTTGCCTTGCAGCAAGAAGGTCCTGGGTTCGCTTCCCAGCCTGGGACCTTTCTGCATGGAGTTTGCATGTTCTCCCTGTGCATGCATGGGTTCTCTCCGGGTCCTCCGGCTTCCTCCCACAGTCCAAAAACATGACTGTTAGGTTGATTGGTCTGTCTAAATTGTCCTTTGGTGTGAGTGTGTGTGTGTGTGTGTGTGTGTTTGTGTGTGTGTGTGTGTGTGTGTGTGTGTGTGTGTGTGTGTGTGTGTGTGTGTGTGTGTGTGTGTGTGTGTGTGTGCATGATTGTTTGTCCTGTGTGTCTCTGTGTTGCCCTGTGATGGACTGGTTCTCTGTCCGGGGTGTACCCCGCCTGATTGCTCATTGACCGCTGGAGACAGGCACCAGCCCCCCGCGACCCTACATGGACAAGCGGGTTCAGACAATGGATGGATGGATGGATGGTTGCAAAAATGTGAAATTTTTGATGCAGTCTGATATAATCTGATACACTGTTTTTGGGCCGATATCAAATGACTTACAATATCGATATCGGAACGGGACATCCATAACTTCATGTTAGGATAGTGTATTGTGCTACATATCATATTGTCTCCTCTGTATTGTGATCTGTATGTCGTATTGCTTCCCCTTTATTGTGCTTTCATATTGTCTCACCTGTATTGTGCTAAATATCATATTGTTTCACCTGTACTGTAATATATATCATATGGTCTACCCTGTACTGGGGTATAAGGTACAAGCCAAAAGTTTGGACACACCTTCTCATTCAATGTGTTTTGTTTATTTTCATGACCATGACCATTTACAGAGGCCAACAAACGCTAAACACCTCAGGGAACTCCTTCAAGACTGTTGGAAAACCATTTCAGGTGACTCCCTCTTGAAGCTCATCAAGAGAATGCCAAGAGTGTGCAAAGCAGTAATCAGAGCAAACGGTGGTTATTTTGAAGAAAATAACAAATGTTTTCAGTCATTTCACCATTTTGGGTTAAGTATATAACTCCACATGTGTTCATTCATAATTTAGATGCCTTCAGTGAGAATCTACTAAGGTCATGAAAATAAAGACAACACATTGAATGAGAAAGGTGTGTCCAAACGTTTGGCCTGTACTGTGTATCATATTGTTTCCACTGTACTGTGATGCATATATATTGTACTGAGAATACACACCTCGTTAATGAAAACTGTTAAAGTTGAATAATATATCGTATCAAATGAGGTCTTCATTCTGTATGTTTAATGTTAATATTTCTGCACAAGAACAACTGTATACAGGTGTACTCTTCATCCCTAAACACCAATGCTACAAGCTGATTAGGACTGAGATTAGTTAGTGAGCCATTTTTAAGTATTTGAGCAAGAATTCATCACTGGTAATGAGTTTGTGTCATGAATTCAGCCAAACAGAACTGTTTGCATATTTAAGAAACCAAAGCAAAATAAAAGAACCAAAAACTTCAGAGAAACAGAAGCATGTACCAGCTTTCATCCAGTGCAACAACTGGAGCAGATGTGATGACATGAGAGGAGATACAGAGCAGCAAAAACACAAGGGGGGGGGGGGGGGGGATATAAACCGTTGCAAGGCATGAAAAGACATCAAGCTCAATAATATCACAATCAGAGCATACCAGTAAGTGTGAACACACTCACACAGACACACACACACTTGCATGTGCAAACACACATTGTGCCATGCTTGTCAGTTTGTCAGTCAACACACATGCAAGCAGTGCTCCTTTCTCTTTCTCTCTCACTCCTTCCATGCAAACATTGCCTCTTTTTAATCTTCCAATTCTTGGGTCTTCATGACAACAAGATCATACCATGCAGAAAACATTGATTGGGGAGCGAAGGCAATACCAAGGGTTCTGCACACAAGGCCTCACAATGCAGTCAATGCACTCTGCTGCGTAGGCAGGCCGCTTCGTCACCGCCGCAGCTCTGCTCTCTTTGGTTATGGCTTCAGTTTTTGAAAAACTGTTTTCACTCTAGAGCTTCTCCATTGATTTAATTGGATTTATTTTTTTCGTTTTGTTTCCTTTTTTGGTTTCCTCGTCTTTCAATAAGAGACGCTTTCTGAAACAAAGGAGTAACAAAAGAAAAGAAAGAGCACACCAACCTTCTCGAAGCTCTGTGGGATGGAAGGGGGTTGATGCAGAACACAATGACGTGAGGGGGGAGAGAGAACGAGGAAACACAGAGAGAATAAAAACAGCCAGCGCAAAGCCACTCACCTCACCCCATCACTCCACACACACCTCATCCTCACATACACACCATTCTGATTTAACAAACTAACAAATCTGTACTCTGGGTGTGGTGGTTCAGCCAGTAAAACACCTGCATCCAGGCAGAAACAACAGTGCCATTATCCAATTCATTATTAGGAGTCTGAGTTGTACTTTTTTGATCTGCCTCTAGTACAGAAACCACAGCAGTTGTAAGATCAGTGATGTTCCCATGCAGTTAAACCCAGGTGTGAGTCCCCGTTAGGTAACTCCTGGGTTTAAGGTGGAATGTGTTTGTGAGGAATACCAAACAACAGGGTCAACATATGTTGTAGACAATGGATGGGTTAGTAAAACTCCTTAAAGAGCACAGTCATGGAAAAGAGGTAGCTTCGTTAAAAAGACAGGCCTAATTGTTGACATTTGAGCATTTATTTGAGTGTGTGTGTGTGTGTGTTTGGGTTTGCACATGTTTTGCGTGTTCCTGTCCTACCTCGAACATAAAGGTTTGCAGGAGAGGAGTAACGCACGCCTTGAGAGTTGGTGGCCACACACTCGTACTTCCCCTGGTCCGTTTCCTCGCTGTTCTCGATCTGCAACGCTCCTGCAAGAGGACAAAAGAATTATTGTACTTTTATCCTCATCCTGACACATCAGTCTGAGTTCCCGCAACATTTGACCTCAAGGTATCTCACCCTTTTTCTTTCTTTCTTTCTTTCTTTCTTTCTTTCTTTCTTTCTTTCTTTCTTTCTTTCTTTCTTTCTTTCTTTCTTTCTTTCTTTCTTTCTTTTTGTGTGGGGTGGGGGGTCCAGGTTGGGCCAGTGACACCCTCTAATGTTGTCTAAAACCTCCCCTGACAACGGTGTTTTATGAGCAGCGACTTGTTTATCAGGTATTTTTCTGAAATAATTGTATCTTTTTAACCCACCACCTCCTTCTCTCTTACTGTGTAACAATAACATGGTAAAAGTTGAACGATTCTTGTAAAAAAAATAGTTGGCAAGACACAAAAAACTGAGCTTTTGTAAACTCGGATGACGTTTCTCTTGCAAATGTACCAGCTAGTGATTCCTCTCCTGCTGCCATGATAAAAAAAGTCTTTTCCTATCTTGGCAGCAAACTGACAGCAGCTTTACCCCGAGGCAACAACCCAACGACGCTCTTTAACTCTTTACTCCTGTATTTCTATCCTCCCACCCTAAACCCACCATGAAAAACAGCATCTCCCTAAACGTGAGTTATAATTACACTCTGCACTCATCAGGTATTCCTTGGCTCAAAGGGAGCTTTTATCACCCAGAAATCTTTTTTTCCAAAACTTTTCATAGTTTTTATTTTTTTGCTATGAGCATTTTAAATAACCAGCAGATATTCTCTATATTATTTTTGCACTTTCTGTTTGCCCTGTCACATTCATGTCATCGTAAACTGACTTTGACATGAAGCCTTAGGAGGAGGGGGCACAAACTGTTATTATCAGATGAATGACTATACAAGCGTGCATGCACGCACAAACACACACACAATCAGACACACACATGCATGCACACACACACAATCAGACACACACATGCATGCACACACACACAGACACATATGCACACCAGCATGCACACACACACACACACACACACACACACACACATATGCACACACACACACACACACACACACACACACACACACACACACACACACACACACACACACAACCATGCATCACACACATACACGCATGCACACACAGACACACACGCACACACACAAACACACATGCATGCACAAACACATACATACACACACACAACCATGCATCACACACATACACGCATGCAGACACACACACGCACACACAAACATACATACATACAAAAACACACAAACATACATACATACAAAAACACGCATGCATCACACACAGACAAACATGCACACACACACACACACACACACACACACACACACACACACACACACACACACACACACACACAAATACATACATACATACACACGCATACACACAGAAACACACACACATGCACACACACCAACACACATGCATGCACAAACACATACATAAACAGACACACATGCATCACACACAGATGCACACGCGCGCACACACACACATGCACGAACAAACACATACATACACAGACACACACGTATCCCACAACATGTGCTTAAAAATATGAAAATTAAACATGTGTAGGATAAAGGAGAAAGTACTAGGGCCTAAAATAATGTCTTTAATAAACAGATGCTAATCCAGCAAAGACTTGAAATTAATGATCCTTCAGTCAAGTTCTGTTCAGGAACTACCCTGTAGATGCTAAAAAACAGGATTTTATTCTGTCTGTTGAAGTTTGCTTTTCATTTGAGCTTTTATGAACTTTGATTCACGGGCCAAAGTTGAAGATTTGTGTCCAGCTGTAAAATTAAAAAGATGAGGAGCTTTTTAAGATCACAGAAGCCGTCTCTGGAGTTCGATCCATGCAGATGAATCTGTATTGATTAGCTAAAACATGATTTGTTTAGCAATCACCAAAGTGAACAGCTAAGTTTACAAGTAAACAGATCATGAAAACAAGTAAGATATTCCAAAAAAAACCGACTCTGTGATGCACCTCATGTGTCACACTTTCTTGCTGCTCCTGATATTTATGCTAAAAGATAAACAGAGATGTGTAAAAATGGTGAAGTAACAGTAATTATTCACGGCTTTTACATAGAAACTCACTTTTAAATTGTTAATAAATCCAGTGAAAAACTAAAAACCGAAAACCTGAAAATTAGATGATCAGAAACAGAAAATTCTAAAGCAAAATATTCCTTATCATTGATTTTCTTTGACTAAAAGTACATGAAAGATTAAACTTGATTATTAAATTAAAAACAATTGAAAATACGTTATTTACAGTTTTGTTGCTTCTTTTAAACTGGAAAAATTGTATAAAGTTAGTACATCGTATACTTTCAAAGACAAAATTGCAGGAAGTGTGCGTCTGTTGTTTAAAGTTATCTTTCACTTATTTCCACTGTAGCAGCTCATTAAACCTATCAAATTGATGTGATTAAACACCAGAATTGACAGAGTTAGAGCATCAGCAGCTCCCACCTCCAGAAAAACACAATCACTAGTTTTAATTTAACAGTTAATTTTTTAGTTTTTTTTACTTTAGGTCATGAAAAGCTGTCTGATGTCTGGGCCATTTCATATGTTCTATTTCAGTAGTTTCTCCACAATCTCCATTAAAATAAAAAATAAAAACATTTTCACCTCTGATCTTTCTCCTCCAGCCGAACCTAAAAGCCTTTTCTGGGTTTCTACAACAAACCAGCTGGGACCTCGCCGACTCTCACACTGTTCTTTTCATGCTCCACCGTGGGTCAGCGGTAGGGAAGCTCCTGGTGAACGAGAACGTTCACCTCCTCTTGGATTTAACCTCTGATGTGGTTTTTTTTTCTGAATGACATGAGTAAAAAAAAAGTCCTTATAGTGGCAAAACTGTTTTAAATTCCAGTTTCCTACGATGGTAAAAACACGTTTACATCCTCAGAGGAGTAGGAGATAGAGCTGCCTTTTAGAGGGCTTTGAGAAGAGACGTCTGCAGTTAAGATCAGCCCAAAAGCTCAGGTTTCAGCCTTAATCTGCAATTAGCACAAATGTCACACCTTATTTATTAAATATTAGCGTCAGTCTGAATCGATGTAGCTGAAAATCGACATGATCAGAGATTTTTTATCAACATAAACCTGCAGATTCAATAAAATCAGATAATTTGTTGGAAATAATTTGTATTTGCAAATAAGAACGACATGTGAAGGCCACTGGGAGGTGTTCACCAAACAGCTAATCACTTATTTATAAAAAAAAGTAATCTCATTTCTGTTTTCCCTCAGTGCCATGGTAGGTTTCTATCGCCAACTTCAGCACAGATTATTTTTATTGTTATTCAGGGGGTGCAAGCTAACAGAAACTCCCAGTATTTCATCAATACTGATGCACATCTGCATTTTCTGACTCTCAGAGGGCGTGTGAGTGCAAAAGAAGCAGTGAAACTTTTCAAAAAGGGAAATTTAACCTGTTACTCTAAGCTGCAGTGCGTGTGTGTTTTGTGCATGTGAGTGTGTTTAGTGAGCTGAAGCTGTCATCCATCTGCTTCCATCTTCTGCAGAGGAAACCAGCCCCTACATCTACCCTCGCCTCCCTATTTTTCTTCTCTCGTTTACAGGGCAGAGTTAGGGAAAAACAGGAATAAATTAACCTCTCTACAAACCAAATCTCTCCGCCAGAAAGTGGTAAATACGAGACGAGGTAAAATTTGGACAGGTGGATCTGTGCAAACGAGGCTTTCCCTTGACAGCTGGAAGCAGCTCATATGGCCAAACCATCATGTGAAATCTCCTTTTAAAATTTTTTTTTGTGCAAAACTTGCAATTACCAAACACAGAGAAAAACATAGAGAGGTCAGCGGGCACATAACTAAACGACATCGACATAAAGTTGGATGTGAACCAGCTTAATTCAAATGAATTCAAATTCAAATTCAAAAATTCTTTATTAATCCCAGATGGAAATTTTAGTTTCGGTACACACAATTCTGAGATCAGACATACATACATAGGCATAGACACATGACAAGAATTGGTGACTGTGGTCATTCGCAACCCGAGTCGCGCTACCGTAATAGATCAAGAGGGTTTATATGAGGATAAAGTCAGGGGGAGGGAAAAAGGCACTTCAGAGTTACCCTCAACAGAGAGGGCAGCTTTGCTATGCCAAAAACACCTCAGACAGATATGCACACAGACTTAAGACATTACACAACATAAGTGTCCACTAGGTGGGGAGGTAGGGTTGGGACTCTCCTCACTTCAGTGCCTGCAGCCGCATGGGGCAGCGCTCATCACCTCCGTTTGGACAGGGGAGGGAGATAATGGGTTAGAGAGCACAGTGACTCCTAGATACGGTTCCACGGCCTTCACCGGTCACAGTCCCGCCCAGGCTGGGATAGGGAGAAAGAGTTTCCATAGCTACGGCAACATTCCACATTTCTTCTGAGGGTGGAGTTATCACCTCAGCCTCACAGGCTCCAAGGGCACCAGATTCAGATAAGAATTGTTTTGGGGACAGACAGAGATCATTTCCTCTCTGCCTTACGCCGGGGACACACCGGCCGCGGAAGCGCCGCGAAGCGCCGAGAAGCGAATCGCTCACGAAATTCGGCCGCTGCTCGCCGCTCCTCAGTTCAGATCAGACGCGCCCCAGTCGAGGCGCGCCTCGGCTCAGCTGTAGTTTTTCTTTTAAAACACTTGGTGTCCTCAATTTCCTCTCTGCCTTTTCTCAGCTATTTTCCTCTACGTGTGTGCGCGCGCGTGTGTGTGTGCGCGCACGCATGTGTGTGTGTGTGTATGTGTGTGTGAACCTATGGTATGAGTTGTTTCTGCCAGTTGAATCTCTTGGAACCCGCTCCAATTCTGCAGCTGTATCCTAGCAGTTTCTTCTGAAATGGGTACGTAAATAACCATGTTTTTCGAGGGTCGTACAGCTCCTTGTGTTTCTCAACTTCCATAATTAATTTAAAGTCATCCATCTTA